TTATTTTATCCAAAATGACTTGAGATGAGACCTTCCTCCTTCCAGCAGACAGACGGACAGGTATAGACTTAAAACACGGCTATAACTAACTATTAGCACAGTTGGCATTCTATGAGGATAGCTGACACCAGCCACACGAAAGACCAAGAATATTAGAGATAAGGGTGGTATCCCCATTGCGACTGTCTCTGTCTTCCAGTCCACCACCACACCCTTCTACCAATCCCTCCTCGCTTGTCTTTCTGTTAAAACACAACTTGGAAATCATTCTTTGGGTTTTCAAGGCTGTTGGAATGTTTCTTATCCGTCTACTGATATTAAATGTGCAAAGATAAGATATTCAGACTATTTACGCAGACATGGCTATATAAACATACCACATGTACACGACTACTAATAGTGTCGTTTTTGGAGACTTACTGTAATCCACCAACATTTCGTAAGACACATGCCTTACATAATTTACCATTATGACTTAACCGACAGACATTGATTCTCTCTCGGTCAACTTTTATTTGTTAGTCTCACGCCATACATTATCGAACTTAGGTCGATAACACCAAACCAATCAGGAGATCAGAGCGTATGAAATTCGGCACGTGATGGCAACTAAGGTCAGAGCGTGATACCACGTGTTTCCCGTCAACAAGCCACAATGGACTTCTCCTCTCTTGCGATATCACTATCCGCAATCTGCCCCATGTGTATTTAAGCACTTGGCCGGATTGGGTGAATGACTCAGAATATCGATGTTCGTGTACAACCCAGATCACAGAGTAGAAGAAATGCTTTTTTCCGTACTTATTTGTCAGGGTGTTTCTGGGTGTTGAAGTAGGCAAATCCACGAGCCTTTCCTCCCGAATAAGTGAAGCAGGATCACCACAGAAAGAAGAAGACGTCAGACAAATTAATGATTGTGACTGCAAGCATTAAAAAACTTTTTGTCAAAGAGGCTCCAAGGAATACACATGTACAGAAAAGCTGAAGGATTTGGACTGTCCGTTATTTGTTGTGTAAGTACATCTTTGTAGAATTCTCTTAGGGGATGGTCAGTAAATGTTCTTTTGGCCATTGTTCGTTCAACGTTAAAAATTTTGTTTAAACAAGAAATAAACGAATTTCGCTACCTAAGAAAAGGAAGAAGAAAAATAAGAAAGAAAAACCAGGTTGAGAGGATTGCCCGGTTTAGAAACAAGTTGAATGAATTGCAGGGACTTGCATGGCTTTCAATAGTGACAATTGTTAGGCCCGTTGTCAGGAAGGTCGGGGTAGATTCGTAAAAAAACTACCCATTTCGCTGGGAAGAGGTCCGCTCTGGGTGAAATTTAACGCGTGAAGCAGTCCATGAAGGTTTCATGATAAAAGGTCTCATTTTTCCAGCAAAGCTACAAAGCTACCCACCCCCCTTTCAAACTGCTAGCTGGCATGATTTTTAAGATATTATTGATATATGTTATTAATATGTTCTCTCAACGCATGCCTTAATCCATGAAGGTCTTAGTTCTTAGTTCCACACAGAAGGTACCTGTTCCCTTCCCTTCCAGTTTGCGGTTTGTTGGACTCCCCTTGAAAAAAATCAAACAAGACAAGTTACAGAATCAAAATGACCGAAAACAGACTAATTTTGGATATATCTTAAATAATTGAAACGCGTTTTAGGGTTTCTGGGTGTCTCTTTTTTTTTTTTACCTTTTATGCGGGGGTAGGAGGCGGAGAACTTTTGATTTGGAAATCTATTCAAAAACGTTAACCCGCCTCTGCTTGTTATCCTGCAGTTGAGGTCTGGACAGCGATAACTCCTAGATATACTGGCCTGTTGACCAAGAGTACTATTGACCATGTCATTGACCGTTTGTTGTCCCAAGCATTTGAAATTTTCCTGTATTGCACAAAACAACAGACGTTGAGAAGGTACAGTAAGTCTGGAAAGAAACTTGAAAGTCTTTGTATTTAGGCGACAAGCTTATTGGCCCCACTTTCAAACTCTCGATTTCCAAATGAGGGACATAAAGATAAATTTAAGACGACCGTGACCTTTTGTCCCGCTTCCCTTTCTCCTGCTAATTTATTTATTTATTTATTTATTTATTTATTTATCTTAATTATCCATTTATTTAATTTGTCTTAGGGACACGATTCTACCTCTCTCCATCTTGAATGGACATTTGCTGGTATATATAGACAATATTTATTGAACGCCCCAGGAGCAGGTCACTTTCACGTAGGCTATAGTTTGTACCTTTCCCATCATTCAAGGTCAAGGTGTATTCCCACACATAACACTGGACACGTGTTGCTCTGTGTTCTGCTTGACCTTGGTCATATCAAACATACTGTATCAGTGAAAGTACCTAATCTCTAGCTTATCTCTGCCCTCAGGTATCAGCCTTTTCGCCATTTACATTTTCAACCTAGGACCCGCCAAAATATGTGCTTCCCAGATATAAGTAGGGTATCCTGATATAAAAGGACATGTACCTCATGTACTTTACCTGATATATCTACAAACAAACAACTGCTTGTATGCGGAGCTTTTCAATTTTTATATTGGTACATTTTTACATCGAAACCGCATACACTGTCCCCTTTTCATTACACGGATTCTTCTAATACTCACAACACTAGGACTAGTAGATACACATACCGTACTAGAGGGTTCGGACTGGAAACTAATAGATACTACGATAAGTTTCTGATCACAGGTAAGTCGACACTGTGTATGAATGTGTATAACGTTTTGTAGAGCTTTGAAGAGTACGGATATCTCCGTTTACTCTTTGCATATATCATAGTCTTAACTAGTTAAAAACGAAGCACGGGTGCACAGTGTACAAAGTGGTCTCCAGGAATATACTTTTTTAAATATTACGTTGAAGAATGCACTTAATGAACTTCACAAAAATATTTTTTCCTTTTTCAGTTCTTCGTTTCATTAATCGAACAAGTTTGATATAATTAAAATCAAGCGCTGCTTGACGAAAATATACCAAGGGATAATCGGTAGAAGCTCATCAACATGGCTGCCAACGAGATCTTGTTGACTTGGAACGGCAGCGACGTCACCATGATCCCAATCAACAATAATATCACCTTGATTAGTTATACAAAGATCCCAGCCTATTTCGTCGCAATCACATGTCTCAGTTGTATACTTTCCATTATCGGTAGCGTATTGATCATCGCAACATATATCGCGTTTAGAGAAATCCGATCAACCAGCCGAAAGCTTCTAGTTTACCTCAGCATTGTTGACTTTTTCACTGCGCTAGGCAACTTGATAGGGGTCATTCGGTACGTTTATAACTACACCAACGAGATCTCGACGGACTGTGATAATCCCGGACCGGTATGTGTGGCCCAGAGTGTCATCACCACGTTTTCCAGCATGGCAAGTTTCTTTTGGACGGTGATGATTGCACTGTACCTTCACGTCAGTGTGGTGGGCGGTGACAGTAGAAAGGCGGACCGCAAGGTGTGGGCGTTCCATGTGTTATCGTGGGGAATACCTGGTAAGGAAGGTGCACACCTACACGCACGCAATCGCACGCACCCGCTAGCATACACTTTACCATACATGGGTATATCGAGTTCATGGCTATACTGTCTACCATGGGTCTCTCTTGATGTTACAAATTAGACGAAAGATTTTCCACAAATTGAAAACAGCTAGAGAAGACCACTAGCAGAGCAGCTAGTACATGTAGCATATTCCAAAAAGAATTTGCATACGCACACAGGTCAACGCATACGCTCACACGTACATGTACATACACCCTTTTTGTAATTTATTTGTTTGTTTATTTTTTTTACTTAACTTTATAAAATTATTTAGTTTATAAAATAATTTATTCATTTATTTTTAGGTCTTTTTATTTCATTGTTTCTGTATTACTTATTCATCATTTTCTAGCCATGTTAACATTCACAGCTTGGCAATATGGGGTGCTGGGGGAGGACGGCTCCCAAACTAGCGCCGGTTGGTGCTGGATTAAAACCACCTGCTCGGACGGCATGAGCCCTGGAGAAGAGATAGGCTGGATGCTGTTGACGGGGAAAGCCTGGGAAATCATAGCCTATCTTCTCACCCCAGCCATCTATGGTCATATAAAGTGCCACATTCACAGAACGGTACTACCCTTTTCTATATTCTAAAATTTTCTATGGGAGAGCTACAGGACTATATGGAAATCTCTAGGAAATCTATCGGACATCCTATAGGATTCCATATGTCCTATAGGACCTTGTGGGATTTTGGGCAATTTCCCATAGAATCCGATATATAGTCTTATTTGTTAGGAACTGCTTTGGGAAGGTTTCGTTAGTGTATATGTACCGGTAGTTAGTTGGTCAGGAGCCCTTTAAAAAATAAAATTTTGCCCAAAAGTTGGGCAACGCTTTAAAAACAAAAAACTCTGTTCTTATTCATTGAGTGAAACAGTGGATGCCAGAAATAAAACATAATCTTATAAGGCCTACCTCTGTCAACCTGCACCATGCTATTATATGGTATTATATGTCTTAAAGTTATGTTATATTGAACTTTGATAACTTGTGTATGCTTCATTTTCACATTTAAGTCGCCCAAACCAAAATTATCTCTATCTCTCTTTAAATTTTTACAATTCTATTATTTATCAATCAAATACATGCATGATATAGTAGTGCTTCTCGTCAATAATTGCAAATATTGTGTACAAAAGACACTTTTACTTTTCGAAACTCCAGATTGTTCAAGTTCATCACCGTTATATAGACAGCGACACTATCCATGCGGTTGAAAGAGCAGACCGGAAGCTGACATTTGTGCCGATCATTTTCATCCTTCTGCGCATATGGGGCACCATCCGTTTCTTCCTTGCCATAGGAGGCTATCAGCCTTCGGATATGTCAGCATTGATTATTATACTTCAGGTGCGTCTTTTAACATTTTCTTTTTTAAATGCTTATTATTATTATTATTATTATTATTATTATTATTATTATTATTATATATTTTGGTACTTAGATATTTCGGTTTACTGCTTTTTAAGTACGGAAAGAGGTACATTGTACGTAGTTCCTAAACCAAATTAGAACGACGGAAAACGAAGATTTATTATCGCCAATGTTACTTAAAGTTATATAGTTCTCCTTTCTTTTTACAGGGGTTTGGTGACAGCGGCCAGGGCTTCTGCAATTTCGTCTTATTTTGCCTGACCACTGACGTCATTCGCGAAAAACTGAGAGAAAAGCCTTTCTGCGCATGCGCTAGAATGTGCGAGAAGATAAGGCCATGCTTTCTTTGTGATAGAAAGCAGGCAATATATGTGCCTCAAACGTATTATAATATACAACTTTAGCTGCAAATATGCATTACAATGTATATATGGGCAACATACACTGTATATGTATTGGAACACGAAAGCATACAGACACGTAACAGGTTAATTTGGTGGCTTTTTATTTTGCCTTTCATTGAAAAAATGAAACCCGCAATACTACAAGTCAAGCATGTACCTTTCTCGCACACCTGCTGAAAGTTACAGTTAGTATAGCGATCTTCAAAAGGACCACTTGTTACCCATAAAAGCAAAGATTTTCTTTAAACTCAACGTTTATGACCATGCTGCTTTTTACAGCATACATGTAGGTCCCCTGTATCTATGTGAACTCGTATCATCTTATGCGCTTCGCATGGCTTTTGCTTTCACATGTACATAAATCATAATTTTTGTTTATCTTGTATTTTACATGATAAACTCTATTAAATGAATTTGGATTCCAGTAAGTGAACCGCCAGAGGAGCACTGCAAAAAAAGTCAAATTGGAATTTCGTATTAAAAATGTCTGGAAGGGGCAAGGGGGAAGTTCATTTCCTGAACTTCCCCTTACACTGCCTGTTGTCTTTTAACAAATGACGGTATCCGTTTCCACGGTTTTAATTGAGCATTTGTGACAATATTGTTCAACAAAAGCTTTCTGCAAAAGAACATTTTGAAATTAATATAACACGGGATTGTCAAAAGATATGAGGAACAATTTTCGATTTTAGTGTATCGAAGGGCGAAACACGAACAAATAAGTGATAATTGTAATTGTATATAATTTTCTGGCCATCTATCTCACATTTCTTTTTTGTTTGGTTATGAAACTTTAATTTGACACAACATAAATACCCCAAAATTCCATCAAAGAATAAAATTGATTTTTATAAAGTAAAAGGTACCATATCATACAAATACCTCTGGAAGTATTGTTTTTATCATCTACCGATTTTGCACTTAATTCCAAGGGGTTATTACACCGGCAAATGGACGTTACTAAATACCGCATATATAGCTGTAATGATTTCATTAAATATTCAGCGACCATTAGCATGATTGGTCTGTGTTCTTTGTCAAGTACACTCCCTTATTTATATCTAATAAAGACTGATCCGTTAATGGACACACATTTTAATTAATCTAACAGGTCATTGACATGACACAGGTCGTCATTTGTAATGATATAAGGCTGGCAACCATATTTGAATAGTTAATATCCTTTCGGAGAAGAGTAAGTTTTTGCGTATGAAAATGAAAAATTCATTTTAAAATAGCCTTGGTTTGTGGTTCAAAATACAGAGACGCATAACCCTGATACTTAATTTATTTGTAGCTTCAAAAACATAGTTATAAAACATATTGTTAGGTCATGGTCATTGTAAAAATGGACTAGTGCCATAATATTTTTTGAATACTGTGAAAATAAAATTATATCTGGTTACTATCGCTGAACACATGTTCACGTTACCGAGAAAACATTCGGCTAAAGCATAATAGTGTATGTTCTGCCTTAATGGCCTATTAATACACACGACTTGATTGGTGCTAACCACACCCTCACAAATGCAACATTAATAAAATATTACCAACAATAAAGCAACGCCGATTGCCTGGGCTCTTTGATGTCTTACCACCTCCATGGAGACTAATTTAGTGCTAAAAGGTAACAATGACGAGTTTGATCTAAATAAATGATAATACACCGGTAGATCCTGTGAATGTCGTGCGTTTCATTTAAAAAGGGTTATCCATCACAATTAAAGGAGATAATTAATCTTTGCTGATATACATAAGTCTTTTCAATAAGTGAACTGGGTTGATAAGTGGCTTATTAATAATTGGACTAATCATGAAAACGATAATTAGAATAAATATGACCGACTGATACCATTAAGCTAATACACTAACCTGCCCATGGGATATTACGTAGTTTTGTCTTAATGTTTGTTGTAAATGTCCATAAATCAATTTGACAGGCGCACCCATTCCATCCCTATTGACACGATGTTAGTTCTACGCGTGGTATATAAATGTTTCAATCGCCATTTCAAGAAGAAAAGACACCCACGGTTGGAAATAAGTTCATTGGCGCATGTTCTGATCATAAGACGCATCTCGATCCGTCATATAACATGTGATTGGGTCCTTAAGTATGTTTTATTCATGCTCCACACTTAAGACATATGGCTCGATTCAACATCAGTTTGCTAATTGATTGCAAAGAGCGAATGAATTAGCGCAGCAACAGCGCGCTATAAAAAGGGTCGCATAAGTTGATACATGTAGCTGTTGATGGAAAACAAAGAACAGGCAAACAGGCAGAAACTATTCATTAATGAGGGAAGGGCACATGCAACCGTACCTATGCGTTGACAAGTCTGCGATTGATTGGGTCCTTATGTGTATTTTATCAAACTTTACCCCGGAATTCGAACGGTCTTGTTGTCCACGTTGCCAAGAATGACCTTTTAAGACCGGACATGCTTCACAATTAAAACCAAGCACGACTCAAGGGCAATTTGCCAATTGATTGCAAAGGGCAGCGCAGCAATAGCGCGTTATATAAAGGGTCGCATCAGTTGATACATGTAACAGTTAATGGTAAAACAAGAAGAAGAGACAAACAGACAGAAAAACGTTGCTCAAACTATTCATCAAAGTGGGAATGGCACATGCCACCGTACCTATACGTTGACAAGTCGTCGATTGCTCGTGGATAATTCTAAATGTAAACGCCAAACCAAGAGTCTCATAGGAACTGCAAGAGAATACTCTGGTAGTAATATGACTGTCCTTTGTTTTTGCTAATCGTATTTTCCACAGTACCTGTAAAGGAGTATCATATTATCCAAAGTTAAAATTTCGTCGTGCACACGACGTTCATTTTTGAAAGTCCACCGGAAACTCAAGGTCGTCAATCAGGATATTCATATTGATGTTCTTATTCGTTATACTCAAACAAACTTAAAATACTGTTATTAATAGTATTCACAGAGACACAGTGTTAGGGGATGAAGAGCATCGAAGTCCCCAAGGTGTAACCCTAAATCACTGAAAAACATTTACTGCTTCCATCTCATGCCTGTGCACGGTAAACAAAAAGAAGAAATTTGTGAGGTTCCACAAAAAAAAATCAAATAATTATATATAGTACAAGTTACCCAAGTGTGTTTTAAGCCAGCATGGCGTGGATGATGAACTTGTTGTTTTTGATTATGGCCACTACAGATATTAATTTTGCCCTGATTGGTGCCATAGACGGCCAGAAACAACATAGCAATGTAAGGAACAGACGCGCAGAAGACAGGGACAGACGAGCTAGGAACGCGTCCTTTCAGAATACTAGTACTCTTGACGACTTGACTTCTGTCATTCCATGCCAAGTTACGGAGAAGTCCATGCACACGCAGGGTAATGTAACAGCCAATACCACAGAAGACCCCACCAGCTTAAAAACCGACCCTTCCCCACAGCCAAACGAGCAAGGAGATGGTTCCACGAATTTCAGTTATATCGATGCTGCTAAAACAGCTACAAGTGAGGCATCTATTGCAGGTGCGTCCGGAGTTCATGACGGAAATTTCAGTGCCACTGATCCTTTCGAAACTGCAACCCAGTCACCGGAGGATATGGAATCATATCAATATTACGGCAATTACGGAGACTATGATCCCTTCTGGCCGCCATATGGACAGCCCTTACCAATTCCTGGATTATCCCCACTTTTAGCACCACAAGGAGAGATGGACGACTTTTGTGCATCTAACACGAACATCACCGAGACGTTAATGCAAAATACCTCTGCAATTATGACTTGTGAAAACGCATTTTCGTCCTGGAAGTACACTTGTTCCGGTGCTTGTGGAATGATTGTCCGTGAAAGCAAGCAGGACAGCGTTAGTTTTAGCGGTTATGTTACAATGGCTTGCTCTTGCAACGATCTTTGTCAAATATATGGAGATTGTTGTTTTGACTTTCCGTACGTATGCGAAAGAGATGCATCGGAAAGTCAGACAAAGGTTGACAGTGTCCCAAGCAAACCGATCTGTTGGAGTGAGCTCAGTGACAATAGTGTCATTGGCGTTCGAGTTTTAGGGGAGCAGTGCGCCGATAACTGGAGAGGCAGTGAATACGAGGAGGGCTGTCTCAGTACGCAAAGCGAGGCAGCCTACATCACCCCCGTCACCGATCTGTCCACAGGTCTACACTTTAAAAACGTGTTCTGCGCCATCTGCAATGACGTAACGAACTACACGTTCTGGTCTCGCGACTACGATTGCACAGATGCCGTCACGAGACTGGACTTGTCAGATCTTGATTTGCTCTCCGCTTGCCGCCTGACGATCAATCCGCCTAATAACACAGTAATGCACGCGTGTGACACAAGGGTAGAGATATCCACATGCCCAGAAACATGCAATAGCACTTATATGGCAGACATATGCAGGAAATTCAGCAACCCTGTCCGCTTTTGGGGCGCCACTTACAAGAATCAGTTCTGCGCCATATGTAACAACGTCCCAGTTGCAGAAATAGAATGCTTTGATCTCCATGTTCCATTGTCTGGAGAAGGTGCACCAACGGGCTCAATACCCCATCTGAGTAGTTTTTCTTTCTCGGTGCTCATGGACTTTAATCCCTCTACGGGCCTCAGCGTTGGCCTCTCACGGAGGGACGTCGCAAGCGAGGTTGAAACGCTGTCGTGCAAAGAGGGGACTGTTAGCTTCGGTGACTGTCGGCCGATTTCGTGCCTCCCAGATTACGAGCTGGTAAATGGAGCTTGTCGTTATCAGTGGGATATCTATCTAGTAGATTTCGACCTTACGTGGAATATTACATCAGAATGGGCTAAGATGGACTGGTCCTTCACTGAAGGTGTACTTTTGGACTGGGCAGCAAATCTAGGGAATGCGTATCTGTCAACCTTGTATCTTAGCACTGTTCTTAATGACATTCATTTCGAACCTCTGGCGGCTAACGTCAACTGCTCACTGAGCCTGAAGCTTCGTGTGAGACGGAAACGACCGGATATCACCGAGACTGTGAAGACGGCCGTCCAAGATATTCAGTCAGGTACTCTCCTAGAGTACGACGGCGCCACCTTTCCCTTTATTTTAGCGAAAGTGAACACCAACATACTAAAGGTAACTTAATTTCATTTACACGCTTTCAGGCCTATTTGCCCTGGCAAAATAAGGTTATTATATTATACTGTTGATGGCTGTAGGTTCGTGTTTCACAGGTTTGCCGTTGTTGCCGTTGTTGTAAGCGAGGCACCCAGAAAAACTCGTAATTTCTTAAGAATTCATAAACTCATTAATTCATTTTGTTACGTTATGGATATATCACGAATTTTAAAGTTTGACGATCGTTTGAGAGGTAATAATTATTGTAGTATTTGACTCCCTAGTCAACTCATCACGCCATCTTGGATCAACATGTAAACTGCATGAGCCAGATCCTTCATCAGTGAGTGTCTGAATTGTTTTCAATTATTTTAATACTCGTGATTATGTGAAAAAAGGAGTTGAAGGCTTTGTTCGTACTTTGGTTGGATCAACGCTCAGCTAGGTTAATTGATCTCCGCTTTCGGCAGCGGAAAGTATCCCAGCTTCGGGTTGATACCTAGCTTAATGGTGATCTCAGCCAGAGTTAATAATAATATTAACAATAATAATAATAATAATAATAATAATAATAATCTTTTATCATCCATAAGGTTTACTCTCCCGAGGGCCTTACCTTGGAAAACAAGAAAGAAGTACCGGTAGGACCTATTTTCGATGGTCTTCCCCCTATTTCGGAGAAAACAGATGGCCATCCTTTACCGAATGATGGTCCTTTTCCGTTGAATGACCTTTCGTCTGTATTTTCGAAAGTAGATTGCCAACGCGTGAGGTTATGGAACAGAGATTATAAACGGACTGCAAATGACACAATTAAGTTAAGTTCATTTGATAGAATTTTACAGTCAAATGAATATAAAGACATTAATGGCACAATAATGATCTGTGCAGATCTGCTGAAAAACATTACCGCTCTGTATGGTCATCAGCAAAATGACAGCGCCATGAATACATTAACGCCACCTATGACACTGAATGCATCTGGCACCATGGGACTTGTCACCATCGTCTGCTTGAGTGTTTCGATAATCTGCCTTTCGGCACGGATCATTCTTCAGCCCTGTATCAAGAAGTACGCCACTTTTCCAGCACGTTTACAGCTTTGTCTGTGTTTGGCGTTATTAATTTCAAAACTTATTTTCCTCTTTGCCCCCTTTGCTGTGACGTCAGAAGGCGTTTGTAAAGTTATGGCCATCCTGTTACACTGGACTATACTCGTCTCCTTTTTCTGGATGAATGTATTGGCCATCGACATGTGCCGTACCTTAAGTTTCACGGCCGCTATGAAGTTTAACACTGCCGGTGCCAAGAGGCGTCTCTTCATCCTGTATTGCATATATGCTTTTCTTGTTCCCGTGGCCATAGTAACCATCGCCATAGTGATCGACCATGTTGAAATGGATCCACAATTCCAGCCAGGCTATGGGATAGGATTGTGTTGGATATCGCGTAAATACCCACTCATTATCTTCCTCGTATCGCCGGTCGGGATCATCATCGTCTCCAATCTTGGTCTTTTCATCCACTGTGCGAGGCTGTTGCGTAAAGCGGTTGCCAGGACAGCTAAGCTGAAAAATACCAACCAAGAGCACCCGATTGGCATATACGTCAAACTGTTTGTCCTTCTGGGCTCCAACTGGACGTTCGGGTTTTTGGCGTCCCTGCTCAACACAGAGGCCCTGTGGTATGTCTTTATTGTCCTGGCGACGCTTGACGGTGTCTTCGTCTTTGGGTCCTTGGTTTGTAATCGAGCGGTATATGAAGAAATCGTCTCTAAGATGAAGAAGAGACAGGCGGGTGAGCATACTGTGACAAATACCAGCACAAGGCAGGGCACAATGTTGACTGACATGGGGAAAATCAATGAGACATTTGTCAGTGCTTAAGCGGATGGCAAGCACAGATTCTAGAATATAGGAAAATCCGTCAAAATCGCACAATGAAAATCGCAAAGTAAGAATATGGGGTTATCTTAGCTCAATATATTTAAAGTGTCGATTACAACCAAGTTTAATTTGTAGGTCACGTGGATGAACTAATCAACAGATAGATGATGGGTCAGTGAGAGGATGTGACATATTAAATTAAATTCTTAGATTTGCAAGTCATGTTGGCATTGACTTTGAAAGTCTTTCCATATTTGAAAGTTTTCTTGTTGTCTGTTTCTAGGTAATTATAATTGTCTTTACTGTAACACAACGTGAGTCTCCACATGTACTAACTGTGAATGTTGTTTGTGTGTTAAAGTCAACTTTTGTCCTTGTTAAATCTTTTTTAGTTTTTTTGGGTTGTCTCTTGCTATCTGTTATCATTTTCTCACTCACTAGGTAGTTTTTCAATTTGTCACTTGCCATCAGGAGAGGAGTTTGGTCTCTACCATATGGAAAATGTTTGTTACATCTGGATCATGAGCGTTGACAAAGGAGATGGCATTTTTCCTATCCTTTGTTCTCAATGTGTATAAAATTTGAATGCTTTTACATAATAAAGACACTTTTAGACTTGAGACTGAAGATGTGAGGTTGTTCTGTTATGCTTCTTTGTGCACGTAAAGTGAAAGACTGAGTCGGATCTGGAGTCATGTCGGAGCCCCTAGATTAGTTAATTCGTTAATGGAAATTATTACACTGAAATTCAGTACAATTATTTATTAAAGTGCAAGTCATTTTGGACGGTTCACAACAACACTGCAAAATGGTATAGCAGTTTATTCTATCATATATGCAGTATATGGTCTACTGCAATGAAATTTACTGGCAGCATATTCACGTGAAGCAGATGGCCACGGGCAAAACACAGAGCTGATGTATGAAAACGGTCCGCAGGTCTCCTAGCCTGTGCATGCAAATTAAATGTCATAAATTAGATTCATAACGTGGGAAAAGTCGCGTTGAGCTCATTTATGCTACCAGCTTATGTTGTATTTCAACCAATTTAGTACTGATTTGTGGATAAGAATAGCCGTTATTTGTACTGCAGTATGTAGTGGAATATATTATTGTGAGTCCCTAAATTAACAACGGAGCCAGGAGAAGACGGTTGCTTCTGTATTTTATAAGGTGCAGGTAGGACTTATCTTGAATCGAGAGAAGAGTGCCATTTACCGTTCATTTGTGACGGAGTGAACAAAATTGATGTGCGACTGTCATATACGGAGTACATCTTATAATACATAGGACTGAAGCTGATAGACTTTGAAAAACGGTTGCCATCACTCACTTATTCTTTAGGGATAAACCTAAAAGTTTGTTTGCAGCCTAATGCTGATCGAATTCGTGAGGCACTAGTCGTGGGTGTTGGCTTTGAGTCTACTGCCAGTCAGAATACGCTCCCAACTTACAACAAATATATGATAATTTGCAACAATTTTAGTGGATGACATTTTAATATAAACATCACATACAGGATCTGTGAGAGGTTATTTATATAAACAAATACAATAAATCCACTATTTATTCTGAAAGGAAGGGCAAACTAATCAAGCGGATGCATATTGTATTAATAACAAGATCGGAATGAGAAACGCCCGAAAAAAGTTCAAATTATTCTTCATTTGTATAGCTGCGGTGCAGGTAGGTGTGGCATTCTTCGTCTACTTCCCGACACGATGGACGGGCGATACGAAACCCCAAACAGCTGCACGCTCATCCATGCGGGATCAGCTAATAGGCGTAAAACTTAGTGCTGGGCCTGACAAACCAGACATTAGGTTAGAAACAGCTCTGCCCATGCCACGTCCACCAGGCAATGGCGACAACAAGCACACAAAGAGTGATAAGATAATTCTGTTGTGGAATTCGTTTTGGGACATGCCAGGCTGGGGCATTGGTTTAGGAGGCGAACCATTCCAGAGACTTCGTTGTCCTGTAAAAAACTGTCAAATTTCCGAGGACAGAAGCCGACTGAATGAATCAGACGCCATTTTGTTTCATATTCATCAGCTGAAAGCAGACGATCGACCTCGTTTTCGATTTCCCCACCAGAGGTGGGTGTTTTGGATGCTTGAAAGCCCTGGATGGTCTCATAATTACCAGTATCAAAAATGGAACGGACTTTTCAATTGGACCATGACGTACCGTTTAGATTCAGACGTGCGTCTTTACTATGGTCGTTACTGGGAACGCCCTTCCGTCCTTAAGAGAGATCTTAATGAAGTGGTTAAGTCAAAAAGCCGCTTGATTGCCTGGATATCCAGTAATTGCCAGACTCACAGCAGACGATTTGAATACGTCACTGAACTTGAAAAATACATCCCCATAGACAAATATGGACGCTGCGGGAACATGACTTGCAAAAAAGAATGGGATAAAGATGATCAAGCGTGTCTCAAGATGGTCGGCCGAATGTACAAGTTTTATTTGAGTTTCGAAAACGCTTTCTGTAAAGATTATGTCACGGAAAAGTACTTCAAGATAATTCCGTTAGACACCGTGCCCGTGGTGAGGGGTGCTGCCGATTACTCCAAATTTGGCCCGCCTCAATCGTATGTAAATGCAGCTGATTTTCGTTCGCCTAAAGAACTGGCGGGATTTTTAATAGACCTGGATAAAAATGACACCAAGTACATACAATATCTGGAGACCAAAAATAAATTTGATGGTACTGGATATTTCGGGGTTAAATGGCTGCCATCTTGGTGTGAATTGTGCGCAAAACTAAACAATGACAGTGAACCGAGGAAGACATATGAGAGAATTGATAAATGGTGGAGCCAGTCTGACTGCGCCGCTAAGAATGACATTAGTAACGGCGAATGAAATTCAACGAGAGAAAAAGAGGCTTTTTTTGTCGTAACTAACGTTATAACCGGTATTTGATGTTTTCGGGCGGGAATAAATATTTTCTCTCATGTATTTGAGAGAAAACTGAAGATGTCATAAGGACAAATATATGCTTAATCACTTGAAACATACGCGCGATCCTTTTCACTTATTAAATGTTGATACGATAAAAGTTTTGGTAAAAGCTAGGCCGTTTCGCTTTGTGAGGTAACGAAATAGGTATATTAATTTTTTTTACGTCTGGGTTAATAATAAACGTGCTACTTTCGAGGCGGCACATTTGGCACTTTTTTTTTCTTTCACTACAGCTAGTATAGAGGATCTGATGGCCATTCCTTCTTTGACACTTTGGCTTTATGAACTATAACACTACAAACAGTGATAGAACCTTGGTACTTGATTTAATGGGTCTTTTTAATGCGATTTCATTTAGGTGATAACATTCAAATTTGTACTGTACTAGTACCTGTATTGGCCGGTATGTTAGCTACCGGTATTCCATAAACTAAATCCATATAAAAGACTAAGCCCCTGAGGGGGATGTGCACATTAATGTTTTTATTTTTCAGTTGCATACACAAAATACTGTACTGTTCATATCTTCATACTATAATAATATCGCCGAAGGTTATTCTGCAAAACTAACGTCATTTCACAATGCCCTGGGTGTATATATATGCATTATGTTTATATAGAAAGTACCACTGATGAAAGGAGTACAATAAAGGGTGTCTGGGTTAATTTCAAATACATGTATCTATTAAAATAGTATCACATATAACGGTACTTATGCCATTAGTGCAATGGATTATTTCAGCTCAAATACGTGTTAAAACAACCATGACTCTAGTAGAGAAAGTTTCTTTTTTAATGATGAAATTACGTACATTTTGGGTCCGTGGGCTGTTTCTAGTCCCTTTTGAGAAGCTCTCACATGCAGTTAATCTACGGAAGGGGGACTTGGGGTTAACTCCCTCCCACAAGCTCTACACTACCGGTACGAAACCTGGTCCTTGTTTCAAAAAACAAAAAGCCTCCCTAAGTACTGGTACTTGGTTATCAAAGTTACGTGGTCTAATTCACACATCTTACGCTATCAGGAACAGCGTTACAGCGCTCTAATGGAGATCTTAGTAGACTACTAGTAAGTAAGCCAAAGAACTAAAGTTTTTTTTTTTTTCGTGAAACCGGGGCCTGCTGTTTAGTAAAGCGTCAAGTGCGGGACTCCGATGGCTGTTTTAGAGCGCATTTAGAACAGATAATCCGCGAACTAACTGATCCGCCGACTAAATGTGGCCTACCCCACATATAAAGCGCTGCTATGATGGTCTCTTCGCCTCCACACACGCCTTTAAACGTATTAAAGCTCGGCTCCGAGGTTTTGTTGCTAGACCCGTGCAGCGACGGCGCATGTCCATTTCAATATACCGTTTAGTGTTAAAAGGCCCTTACTTTCCCTAGTCAGATTCTAGATGAGTGCCACAGGGGGTACAAATAACATGCAGTATTGCTTGACTGTATTTTAGGCCTTCAATAGTTAGACCTTATATGCAAGTTCTCGACCAAAACGACCCTGTTTGTTCTCTTGTTGTCCTCTTGCTTTCATAAAATTTTCAAAATATTCAAAATTATCACCCTTTTTTTTTCAAAAATCGTGTGCTTTTTAAATGTAATACCTAAAATTTCTTAAACCCCAACTGTGTAATTGACTTTTCTTGCTTTTTGCTCATTCATCATATATCCTTAAAGGATCGATTTTTTACTGTAAATGGTAAAACCAAACCGTCTCAAAGAATCCAAATTCAAACTTTCAAACTTGTTACCCTCTGCAACCAATCATATTATGCGACCAGCACTACGGCCCGCAACCCTGGATAATCTATTTTATGATCCCACAATTTCGTGATACCCTCTGTAGATATCCAGTGTTTCATGTGATCAGGCACAAGCTCTGGGAATTGTGGGATTTCAGACAAGAAAGCAGAGAACTTTCACGAAGGTAGATTTTTCTGTTTATCTAATTCTTCTTCCCACTTTGGTAGACATTTCTTCACCATGTTCCAGTAATTATCCTGTAAAGTAAATAAATGAATAAATCGTTTTGCTTATCTTTATAAATATAAACATAAAGACAGCCAGATTAAAAGAAAATTAATTCTGAAGTGACCACAGTATGAAAAATGTTTTAATTAATGCTTTAGTTATGGGTTTGAACTTTTCAAGTCTTACTTAATTGCATTTGCTTAGCTATTGTATTATTATCATTACTATCATTTGATAATTTATTTTACACAATTACTAATATTATTATTATTATTATTATTATTATCATTATTATTATTATAACCTAGCTATTGGCACAAACCCAAACAGATTTACAAAGTAAATAAATGACAGTTCTACTAGTATTCTCCTAAAAGGGACTTTTCTTAATAACACCTTTACCTTCAAATTTTCAAACTCAGAATCCTCTTTTCTGGCTCTTCTCTTTTCTTTCTGCATTCCCCTCATACAGTTATGTATCTCCTACAACAAACAAGCTTTCAGTGATCAAGTTATTACTCAGAAATCCTAGGATACTTCCTCTACAACTTCTATGCATATAAAATAAGACAAAGTAAAAATTAAAAGTATTAAATCATTGGATTCATGTACTGTTACTATACCTCTCTCAATCTTTGGTTTCTTTCCATGGCTCTGTTATAACTGGAGACAAACTCAGACGCACGTTTCTGTCGGCTGTCATAATAAGCCTCCGTTCCATTCAATAGAGCTTGTCGTTGAGCCAGGCTTTAAAAATAAAATAGTTAGTAACTAGTTCTTTTTAATCTTTATTTTTGACAATTGGCATATTGTGGAAATTTTCAGGTGATACAATTTTTTTTTTTTTTTTTTTTTTTTTTTTTTTTTTAGATTTTGAATAAGGATGTCCTCATTCAAACGTACACATGTACGTTACAAATACAGTGTACCAGTACTTGTAACTTGGCCTACATATGGTCCTACATGTACATGTAAGTTGCTAGTTGGTCGAACACTTATTTTAATGTCATCAAATGCTTCAACGAAACAAACAAACAATAATACCAACTCTAAAGGCAGTGCACAATGTACTGGTACTACAGGCCCTTAACTTACAAATATACAGTACTAGTAGTGCCTGTAACTCGTAATTATCAACCTACATTTGCTCATGCTTCATATTCAGCCGCAATTCTTTCTTCACATATGTCCCTTCCGTATCATATCCTTTCACATTCATCTCTCTAACTATCCGGCAGCTAGAATCAGTTCAAAATTCAAAATAACATACAGGTAGACAACTGCCCAAGCTGTCAAAATTGTTTACCCTGGTTGCATTTGCAACCGAGACCGGATGTTACTATTCCCTCCTCAAAACAGAGAAGAATCTCACGTTGTTGATCACGCTGCCTGCACGATTTACCATAGGTAAGAATGAAACGTTTATGTTCTGATAGTGAATGATATCATGTGCTCTTTTGGTCAGATCTACTCCTTTGTGAGCCAAATTATCGGTCTATACATTTGAAGAGACCTAGATTTTTAAAATGAAAAACTTGGCGGTGGGGTCAATCGGTTCATTGTTTGTTTGTGCTCCGAGGAGGGCACTCGTGTTTTGAATGGAAACTTACAGTACGTGCACAGACAGTAAGCCGAGGCTGTCGGTTCACTAACACAGATGGGAATGATTGTGTGAAGCAAAACAAAATTGAGATTTTTATGTATAAAAGGACCAATAGTGTAATTACTATTTTGATATATTGCAGTTGCATTCTACTGTAAACTACATTGTATATATACAGTGTAAAACTTACTTGTAACTAGTACTTGTACAGTATGTGTTGGTGATATGAATTTTTATTAGCTTTTTGTAGAGTGCTTAATCTGCATCCTGTATATGCAAATCTAGTCTGTAACTACAATTGAATCTACCCGTTTTATGAACAGTACAGGCCACAGTATCTATCAATAAGTATAATTTGGCCATTTGGCCATTTTTGACACCTTTTTTATTTCACAAACAATCAACTCTTCCTTATGGATCGAGTGATCTGACTATAATGTACATAACCCGTGTGTCCATTCCAGAATGACCGAAGCTGTCCTTGTCATAGGAGGAGGGGGTCGAGAGCATGCACTGGCTTGGAAGCTTGCCCAGTCCCCACAAGTTAGACATGTCTTTGTCAGTCCTGGTAATGCTGGAACTGAGAGAGGGGTCAGCAACATCAGTAATGTCTGTAAGTAAAACTAGCTAGGCTCTGTCAGCTAGCAACATCAGTAATATCTGTAAGTTCTGTCAGTGTAAACACACTACATTTTTCTTTGTAAACAATCTCTCAATAAGAGAATATAATGTATCAAAATAATTTTAATGAAAATGGTAACATGTGTATGATTAAATGGTAGTGGTGGCTGTGACTTTTGTTTGTTATATGCTAGATATCTTCTAATGATTTTTCCAAGATCTTTGTTATTTTGTTTAGTGATCAATTTGAAGAAATTTGATGCTGTGGTCTCCTGGTGTAAGCAGCACAGTGTGGCTTTGGTCTGTGTGGGTCCTGAGGATCCCCTGGCTGCCGGAATATCAGATGTCCTCACAGCTGCAGGTGAGTTTCTCTGTTTCCTTTCATCTCTTTCCAGTCCTCTTAGACTGCCTTCCCATAACCTCATTTTACTAGCAAGAGCGATCTATCTCAGCGGAGATTCTTGTTAAGGGCAGTCAAGGTAATCAGCCTAATTGTCTGGCACGCCCCCTTGCAAAGCAACATTAACAACATCATGAACCACAATGTTTTCCAAACTTTGCCCAAATTCTTTAAGTTACGATGGGGTGTGCCAGACATCTAAGCCCCTTAAACTGGCTGCATTTTATTAAGTATCGCTGAGGAGTTAGATTGATCCAGCTCCTCCTCTACCCTACTCCCCCCACTTGTTCTCTCCATCTTTCCTCTCATTATGTTCTCCTCCTTTTTCCTCCTCCTCCTCCTCCGCTTTCTCTTCTTCACCTTCCTCACCTTTCTTTAACTCTTCTACCTCACCCTGTGTTTCTTGTAGCTTCTAATAGCTTTTAATGAGTCAAGTTTAGACATTGCTTATATATCTGAGTACCATTAAGATGGCCACCATAAATCTTTATATTGGAAATTTTAATCTAAAATATATTTCCAGGTATCAAATGCTTTGGCCCCAGTGCCAAAGCTGCCCAGATAGAGGCAAGTAAGGCATTTTCCAAAGCTTTCATGGACAGACACAACATTCCTACTGCAAGGTGGAAAAGCTTCACAAATGCACAAGAAGCATGTGACCATATCAAGAGGTAAAAAGATAGATGCTAGGCTAGTATTAGCCTAGTAAATTGTAACCTAGTGCCAAACGAAGACTTATTTTACCTAAAAAAATTGACATTGAAGAGCCTTCAATATTTTGTCCTCTGTGAATAATATTTGTCTCCATATAACTGTTTGTTATGCAGCTTCTGTTCCTACCAATTGGTTTTGAGGGAGTTACTATGTGGTTGATTTTCTTCTTTCAGCGCCCCCTATCCAGCCCTGGTGGTGAAAGCCAGTGGGTTAGCTGCAGGGAAGGGAGTCATAGTGGCCAGTAATCAGCAGGAGGCTTGTGAGGCTGTGGATATCATATTGAAAGTAAGTTATGTCTGTCACAGTTGATGTACTTTTGACTTTGTGACTTGAACTGCATTCATATTCATGCGTCGCACCAGCGGGATCGGTCCAATATTTCCAAGTGCAATGCTCCTCAAGCAGCAAGAGGGTAATTAACTAGCGTGTGCTGATTAAGCTGATTCCACTGATTGCACTTTAACAAGAATTCCCCACAGAGTAGGATCGATCCAGTTAGTGTGATGTGTGAATCTGAATTCACCCTTATAGACTGTTTCAATGTTTCTGAATTTGGGTCGAATCTGCTCCATGCTGGGAGGCAAGAACATCTGGTTCTAGACTGAATCGGGGTCAAAAGTTATGCCAGGCATATTTTCATTTACTGTAAACCACACTGAGATTTAGTGGAGTGTGGTACCTTACTTTACTTTTATATCAGTTTTGAAATTGATGTCTGTCCATTTGACAGTATTGCTGCCTTGTTTCATTCTAGGATAAAACGTATGGCAGTGCTGGTGATGAAGTGGTAATTGAAGAGTTATTAGAGGGTGAGGAAGTATCAGTAAGTATTATCATTGTAAAGTGTTATACTGTCTGTTCAACCAATATGAAAAAAAAAATACATAGGACATTTTTTCTTTTTACTGTTGGAGCTTCAGTGTAATTTTTACAAGAATATGGTAGATATTAAGGTAAATGAAAAGTTATATAGAAAGCCAATGGAGATTGTAAAATTAAAAATAGCAGCAGCAGATGGGTAGAAAATGTGTAAAACACAACAAAAGATGGGTTCTTCTTCATCATATATATAAAATAGCCATTGAAACTGTGCAGAGTATGTGAAATGATTAAAGGGAATCGTTCATCCAAAAATATCAATTATTTCTCAGAGAGTTGAACCGGTAGTAGTAACTGCTCTTTCACTATTTCCTCTGCTTCAGTGCAAATAATGAACTTCTTGTGTTGGATGCATCAGCCATCTCCTCTAACACAATCAAAGGTGAACTTAACCTTTCAGCTTTAGTGGAGCAGGAGCTGGAGTCTTGCATATTTCTTGTTAATCTTAACCAGTGCCTCTGTAATTATCTTATTTCTGTTCTCTTTCTCCCAGTGTCTTTGCTTCACAGATGGCAGCACCATCTCCTGCATGCCCCCTGCCCAGGACCACAAGAGATTGCTGGACGGAGATTTGGGACCCAATACTGGGGGAATGGGAGCTTACTGTCCTTGTCCTCAGGTAGGAAAATAACACCAGGAAGGAAAGAGTAGAGCTGGATTAGTTTCATCAATGTAGGATGGTGCTGTCCTATGGATTGCACTGTTCATTGGTGGATCCAGGATTTTGCTATGTGCTATAAACTTCCATAACATTTGAAAAATTGTTTACCAGTGTTACGCAAATAGGCTTTTAAAATATTCTTAGAAAAATTTATTTGTTAAACAACATTTTTATTGGATACCAGCTACTTGTAATATTTTTAAATATCTGGATATTATAATGTATGTACACAGGTTTCACAAGCTTCTCTGGAACTAATAGAGAAACAGGTGCTTCAGAAGACAGTGGATGGTATGAGAGCTGAAGAAATTCCATATGTTGGTAAGTACAAAGTGTACAAAGTCAGAAGCCAGAGCAGATGTGCATGCTTCAGAATTCAGCTTTTGCTGGAAAGCAATTTAATTTTGCTCCAAACTTCCAAGCTAAAATACCTGTCAATTTCCAAAATGGACATAATTTAATAATTAATTTCTTTTAATTTTCAATAATTATGATATTTTAGTTTAAACTTCATAGTTTAACATATTTTATTTCTGTTTATAAACGTAAGTGACAACTTGTAGATGCACTTCATTGGTTGTTCATATGTAAATATTGTTTACCAGGCTCCATGTTCCTAAGACCTTTGCAATTGGATTATACAGATTTCAGTCTTATATACTTTAGAACAAATTGTTTTGCCAAGAGAAAGCCACCATGCTTGCCTGCGTTGACAGGTTTAACTGGAGATGTTTGTATTTCATTATTTTGAATATCCATAACTCTTTTTGTGTTTCAAGGTGTCCTATATGCTGGCCTTATGCTTACAAGTAATGGACCAAAAGTACTGGAGTTCAATTGTAGATTTGGTGATCCAGAAACACAGGTCATTTTTTTATTTCATCATATAAACTTGTAATATACTCTTCATTTTCATATCTATTAGATATGTTCATAACTGTGGGATAGAGGAACTGTATACCTGATATCTTTTCTTTCAAGTGCATCTTAAATTTGGATTTTGATAATCAAAATATCTTAATTGTTGTCATGTACTCACATAATTTGATTTTATTAATTAGGTTTTGATGATCTAGCTAAGACGGAACTGTTTGATTATGCCATATATTTCTATATTTTATATGAGTACAGTGAAGCAGTAATTGATTTTCTTTCATCACATTCCATATTATATTTTGTAGGTCCTCATCCCGCTCATTAAAACAGACCTCTTTGCCACCATGCTTGCCTGCGTTGACGGGAAGTTGCCAGATGCCATCCCAGAATTCCGCACAGACAGAGCTGCAGTGGGGGTTGTAGTTGTCAGCGGTGGATATCCAAATTCTTATAAAAAAGGGATGGAAATTTCAGGTACTGATATACAATGATATGTGAAGAGTGTAAAACAGGTGTAAATTAGGGCTGGAACTTTATTAATGTATTTTCTTGGAAAACTGGCTTCACATTTGACATACCATTATATATATATATATACCTTCTGTTATTTTGAATTTCATTTTATCAGATTTTTTAGATCTGAAATGAGATATATGAACCCAATTTTTGTGAGAATACAACATATGAACATTATTTCATATAGGCTATCTGTGGACACAGGAGATGTTGAAGTCTCACAAGAAATGTCTACTCAGTTTGATACTTTTTGCTTAATTTTGTTAAGTATAAACAGTTATTATGTTATTCAGTGATTTCAGGTATGATTTTTGTCACATTTAGGACTTGACAAATTGTCCAAAGATCCAGAAACTACAGTATTCCATGCTGGGACAGCCATGAAAGAGGGAAAAATAGTCACAAGTGGTGGGCGTGTCCTGGCTGTGGTTGCCATAGATACAAACATCCAATCAGCAGCCAGCAAAGCCCAGCAGGGAGCAGACATTATTCAGTATGATGGAGCATTTTACAGAAGGGATATTGCCCATAGAGCCATAGCATGGTGAGTGTGAACTATTTTGACAGAAAAGGGAGGCTGAAAGTCACTTTTTGAAAGTGTGATGTAGGTTTTTTCAGTAATTCCTGCAATTTGATAGTATCAAAAGGAACAATGTGTTTGGGTGGTGGTGGGAGGGGCATTAGCGAGAACTTAAACTGGTAAATCCCTGGTAAATGGATTTTGTTAGGCCATCCAATTGCATGTTTTTGTGACAGCAACTTTTGGACCCAGAAGTGTTCTTCACATTTTGTTCATTAATTTGGTTTCTTCAAAGATAGGTCATAGGTTTAGAACAAAAATGGCTATTATAATTTGCAGTACATTTGTAGGTCAAGGAAAGTTCAAGAGTTAAAATACAAATATGGCTATGTACATTAATTGTATTTTTTTAGGCCAAAGAAAGTCTGGGGCTTAAGTACAAAGATGTCTCTATTGATTTGTTGTTTCTAGGTCAAGAAAGGGTCGGGGGTTAAAGTACAAAGATGCTGGAGTTGACATAGCTGCTGGAGACAACTTGGTGAATCTCATAAAACCTGCAGCAGCCGCGACCGCGCGACATGGGTGTACAGCTGAGCTGGGGCAGTTTGGGGGCCTGTTTGACTGTAAAGCTGCTGGGTATAAGGATCCTCTGTTGATTTCTGGCACAGACGGAGTGGGGACTAAACTGAAGGTGATTGTGGTATTACTGTGTTCATTTTCTTTATATTGTTTTTCCTGTTGTTTAGGAATTGTGTATATGTACACACACTCACACACACACACACACACACACACACACACACACACACACACACACAGAGTCAGCATAGTTATATGAATTCTAAACTTAGACTAGACAGTGACTGTAAGAAATCTAAAGATAATTGAATATAGCTATTTTTATGTATATTTTTAAGTTTAGATTTTTAGATTTGCTTTTTGGACATACTAACAAGTTACGTTGACCTCAGAGCTAGTCAGGTACAACAAAAAAGTACAAATTCTTGAAAAAAAGGAACAAGCAATCAAAGTTTAAGACCAGAAAATGAAAAGTGATTTTTATTACAGTTTATCAGCTTTAATTCAGTTTAATTATTTATACAATTGAAAATAGATTGCCCAAGCCTGTAACAAGCATGATTCGATAGGCATAGATTTGGTGGCCATGTGCGTCAACGACGTACTTGCGCACGGTGCGGAACCTCTCTACTTCCTGGATTATTTCGCTTGCGGAAAACTCAATCTTGGTGTGGCAGAGAAGGTGATCAAGGGTATTGCCCACGGATGTCGGTTGGCAGGATGTGCATTACTAGGTACGCACTTTATTCCATTTGTTTTAAATTGTTTGATTCATCTTTTGTTCAGTTACATGTAAGTATTCATCCATTAAAAATTTTTTAACAGGTCAGGTGACTTGGTTCAACCAGAATCTGGGATGAATTATTGATGACAAAGATACATGAAGAATTAATTGATGATGTATCTAGCCTGTGCAGTGGCCCTAGATTTCCAAGATGGCAGAGTGAGTTGACTAGGAGATCATCTTACTAAAATAATCACCTCTGAAGACTGCCTCTCCACCAGTCAGTCAGCGTCTAATTTTGTGATCATGTAAGAATATTGAAGAATGAAGTCTTGATATTTGCCTTCAGGGGGAGAAACGGCAGAAATGCCAGGCATGTACGACCCTGGCTGCTACGACTTGGCAGGTTTCACCGTGGGTGCCCTGGAAAGACACCAGTACCTGCCGCGCAGTAGAGACATCAAGAATGGCGATGTGGTCATCGGACTGTCGTCCAGTGGTCTCCATAGCAACGGCTTCAGTCTGGTCAGGAAGCTGGTGGAGCAGCAAGGGATTGCGTACTCTGATCCTTCTCCATTTATGGAGGGAAAGACATTGGGTATCTTCTTCTTTTGCATCTTCTTTTTCTGCTTCTTTTTCTTCTTCTTCTTTTTCATCTTCTTTTCCTCCTTTTCTCTCATTATTATTATTATAATAAAAGATGTATATGAAGTGAGGGGACATGTCATCTTGTATCATGACAAAAAATTTTACCAAAGTTTTGATTATTTGATTAAAATTTTGTATCAGGGTGTTTGAAATGTTTGCATTTTTTTTTAATTTGAGAGTGTAAGACTACATCACTTCTTGTGTTACATGTTGTAGGTATGAGACCACATCCAATCTCTTAAGTGCTTGTTACAGAAAAAACTCCCAAGTTCGCCCAAAAATTTATCTCACAAGTCTGCTTTATTCTCAGGGGAAAAGTAGAGAGTAACTGCATAATGTTTTATTCTTAATTTCCTTAGTTACCAAATGTAGCAATAGATATTAAAAATAATTGCACATTATTATTATTATTATTATTATTATTATTATTATTATTATTATTTACAGGAGAATCTCTGTTGATTCCCACCAGAATTTACTCCAAGACCGTCCTGCCTTCACTGAGGTCAGGAAAAGTGAAGGCGTTTGCCCACATAACTGGTGGGGGCCTGATAGAAAACATTCCAAGAGTTCTTCCCAGTAAAAAAGGAGTTCAGCTGTGTGCTGGGAATTGGGACCTCCCACCTGTGTTCAGCTGGATATACAAGCAGGTACTAAGCAATAACAGTTGAAATGAAAATAAAAGTGTGAATGGCGCAGTTAGATACTGAAAAGTCTGATTAAAAAGTTGCCAGTTGCCCTGTAGCCGGGGGGTGGGGGGTTGTTGAACAAAATGCCCTTGTTGCTAGGAAAAGATCTGCTCTGGGTAAAACTTGAAATTGCTAGCTACCAGCCTGGCCAGTGAATTTGACAGCTTAAAATATCTTTCATCCACTCTTTGTTAAGTATGTATGTCCCTGTCATTTATGAATCTTCCTGGATAGACACATTAACACCTGTTCAATGAATATGTCAGTGTGTCTTTCACCCAGAAAAAACCAACAGTCAGACAACTCTATCATTGAAATCAGTATCAGTGTGTTCTTTCATTACTGAGCATGATTTCTATTTATTTTTACAATGAATTACCAGAGTACCATTTCCTCTTTGACACAATATGCCTTTTAGCAGTATAACATTTTTCAATGCAAAGGTACATTTTCTAGGCAATAATTAAACAGGGATGCTATTTCTATACACGTTTGTTGCCTGTAAGCTACTAGTTACTCAGTTTTGGTTATTTATGACATTATGATTTTGATCACCACATTTAATATAATCCTTTAACCATAGTAAACATTTATTTATAATTTGGTATCTTGTTGACTTCAGGGTAATGTAGAATCTTTGGAGATGGTGACCACATTTAACTGTGGCATTGGGGCTGTCCTGATTGTCTCCCCCTCAGATGCAGATGCCATCTTGAATGAACTGTCGTCTGCTGGAGAAAAAGCATGGAAGATTGGCTCAGTTGTGCCGTGCTTTGGTAAGAAAAAAAGTGAAACAATTTAAAATTTAAATAAAAAATAATTTAAATAATATTTTGTTTGCTGAAGAAGTCATGGTATATAATATACAATTTGCAAAAAAAAAAGACAACCAATGGAATCAGCATGCCAAGTATATCATTCAATTCTTTAAAAAATCATAGTTGAAAATAGACTCACAGTTTAAAACCCTTTTTGCATTAACTGTGTGCCTGCCTCAAAAGGGATTTTCATTCATCTACAAATTGTCTTCTTTTAAGACTGTCCCAGAGTACTAATTAGCCAATTAGAGCACTCCTTAAACAAAGTCTGGAACCCTCCAACAACAGGAGAACATGTTAATGGAGCAGTTAGGAAGAGGAAGAAAGTCGGTGTGTTGATATCTGGGTCAGGTAAGTGTCTTATCATTGTGTAACAGCAGAGTGTATTAGGTGAGACAAGGAATGTGACATTGATTGCTGCCTTTGAAAAATGGATGAGAGTGTGAAAAGGTGACAGCTAGTGTTAACTGATTTTTTCATAGTATTTTGGATGGTTTTGTAAATTTAAGTTTTTGTGAGTTCATTGTAAATCAAGATTGTAAAGATAGAGAGCGTTTACTGGAGTTGGTATTAAGATAAAAATGGAATTATTTTACAGTCTCATACTGAGGCTTCGTAGTGTTTGAAACAGAGGTCACTACATTTTAGCTGTATCACCAGGCATTCTTAGGCGACTTGAAGATGGTTTCACTCTTTCATCGATGTCATATGGTGACAATTTGCGCGGAGTTAATTATAATTTCATCTTTATCTTTAATCCTAGTTTAGAACAAGTGGATGAAACAAAAATTTCATTTGGATATGAAGGTGGTACGGTTGGTACCAGTGTTTGTTGGTTTTTTCATCCACACAAAATAATGGCAGATCATATTACTTGGACTCCCTTAGTATGAAATAACAGAGTGAGTGCTGTTCACTGTCATGCCCATCAAGCCAACTGTTTCTTATTCAGGCACAAATCTCCAAGCTCTGATTGACCACACCCAAAACCCAGCAGTGGACAGTGCAGCAGAGATTGTAGTGGTTATCTCAAACAAGGCTGGGGTCAAAGGATTGGAGAGGGCGAGAAAAGCAGGCATTCCAACACAGGTGATGACTCTCTCTCTCTCTCTCTCTCTCTCTCTCTCTCTCTCTCTCTCATACAACACAAGAATTACACCCGTTATAGGCAGCACTGTCTTATAATGAATAGATTTTCACTTCAATAGTCTAAGATTTTTATTATATATATATATATATATATATATATATATATATATATATATATATATATATATATATATATATATATATATATATATATATATTGTTTTCAGGTTGTTAACCACAAAGATTTTCCATCTCGCCTTGAGTTTGACTTGGCAGTGTCGTCCATATTAGAAGATTATGGTGTTGAGTATGTCTGCTTAGCTGGGTTCATGAGAATACTCACTGGTATGGATGTGGCCTGACTTGATGGCAGTGCCCTCTTTATTACCTATTATATAACGAGATGATTTTAACAGTATCGATAATGTTGGGTTTTGTGACCTTCGAAATAAGTTTATGCTTTTTTGAGTAATGCATGTTTAAATCTTACATACATGGACCACTCGACTTTACTTTAAGAAGCAAATATTTTTTGTACTAGTATCTGTTATCATATTTTGAATTAACCCGTGGAATACCTGTATTTATTTATTTGTTTTTCCTTTTAATTTTTCCTTTTAATTTTTTAATGATATTTTTTCATCCTGGAAGGGGGGGGGTATTTATAGAAATATTGAATGACCTAGATTTTCTCTTTTTCTACCAGGTGATTTTGTAAGAAAGTGGGAGGGCAGACTGTTGAACATTCATCCTTCCCTCCTTCCATCCTTTAAAGGTGCACATGCACACAAACTCGTGCTGGAGCAGGGGGTGCGTGTGTCAGGGTGCACTGTGCATTTTGTTGCGGTACGTCCAACATACAAAGAAAATTAATCACGTTTTCTAAGTTGGAAAAAAATCAAAGTTGTAAAATACCAAGAAGGCTTTAACAGGCCCCAAAAATTTGACACTTTTTCAACTTTCTTTCATTAAAGACTATTTTCTACTTAACTATCTGGTGTGTGTTTGTGTATGTTTTAATGTCTTTATTCGTAACATTAGCAGCAATATCGATATTGAGTTATGAAATAAACCAAAGATATGAAAATTAGCATTGGTATTAAATTTACAGGAAGAGGTTGATTCGGGTGCCATCTTAGTTCAAGAAGTGGTCCCAGTGGAAATTGGAGACACAGAAGAAACACTGGCAGAGAGGGTGAAGACTGTGGAACACAAAGCTTTCCCGAAGGCATTGGAACTATTGGCCTCTGGGAAAGCAAAGTTGGGAGAGAATAATAAAGTTATATGGAGTGATTAAATTTTGCTTTTTTACGTTTTTTTTTTTTTTATATTCGTATGTTTTCGTTTGTTTCATTTTTTTAATTTTAACTTTTTTCTATTATTATCATTATTATTATTATTATTATTATTATATTTTTATTTTTGGCTTTGTGATATTATTGCAGATAAACGATAAGCAATGCAAGAGTTTTTTTTAATGAACCCATGTATCGTTATGAATTCAAGGAAAGTATTGAAAACGACTCGGTGAGACTAAGTCGGGTTTTAATGAGCACCGGGTAGAGGACACGAGGAAGAGAGAGAAGGTGAAACTTAAAATTTTTAGCAATAAGTGAATGTACTCGAGAAACAATTATCACTTTTTTAGGAGAAACACGGTTGAAGACGTGTTTATTGAAGTTTTTTTATAATTTTGCTACACTTAATTGAATGTTTATAAAATGACTTACAAAACTCGAAGGTTCTCACAAATCTCGCAGAATCTCACATTCCAATTTATGGACACACTATTTTTACACTTATCGCCATGAGAAATAACTATGCACTGCTTAATTAAAAGTGCATGAAACGTTTAAAGATAACGTAGTTTTTTTTTTAATATTTGGAATCTCACATTCTGGACACGAGTCTCTATTGCCACTTTGCAAGTTTTTCACAAAATATGTACTTTGAATCTCAATAAAGTATTTGATACTAATGTAATATGTCGTTGTGTTGGAATTTTTATTGATATCTCAGGGCATGTTTTTTTGTAGACTGGGGTGGATTAGATTTGAACAATATCGCACTATGTATACTCATGCATACTAAAACATTGCTTACTGAGAAAAAAATCGGTTGAAACGATTGATTATTTTGGGCGATTTTGTTATATTATTAAGGCAGACTGTTAAAAAAAAAGACATGATAATCGTTGTATCCTGAAAAAATTGACAGATCGAAAAATACAATTTACATTCGACAATTTTGAAGTTTGCTGAATGTGCCAGAATAAAAGTGTACAAGGGTTCGGCTGATCAGTGTAAACTTCTGTGTGTAATGTTTATCTATGTCTATCTATCACGAAAAAGGGTGATCCACCTGATGAAATAAAGCACGACACATCGTAATCGTGACAACATATTTTAAGAAAGGTGACGCTGACTCTAGAGCACAAACATTAAAGAGTAAAAAGTACGTGAAGTTTCCAGCAAACATAAATCGTTATTATAACGTTACCATAACGTTTATATAACCAAAGTACCTGGTGCGGTAGTTTCATTGTGAACAATCCCTATAATTCCTTTCTTCCGTGCGGAATGCAGGGTACGTGGACATGCAGGCGTTTGTGAGCACTCATCTGTGAAATGAATTCACCCGAGGTGAACGGCGACTTAGCCTGTCAGAGATCTTCACTCACTGATGGTTATACTAACTTATGATACCCTAACATGCTATAGCTAATAATTGCTCATAAACGGGTATGACAACCTCGACTTTTTTAACGCAATGTTTCACATTCTGATTATATAACAGGTCCGTAGCCAGAAAACGGGGTGGGGGGGGGGGGTCGGGGAGTTCAAAAGAACCCCCCTTTTGCCGGGAAGAAGTCTTCTCTGGGTAAAGTTCTATCTACGTACATGGAGGTTTGTTGGTAAAGGTCCACTTTTTCAGAAAAAGAATCACCCTTTTGAAATTGCTGGCTACGGGGCTGTATAACATATTTTAAAGGTAACCACCTTTTGGTTATTACTCCTTGCTTCCTGGCAAGCATGTAACCACTTTAGTACACGCCACATCAGATTCATTAACTTAAGCTGGGATATTTTTTCTAATGTTACTCGCGTGCCACAGTGAAGTGTAACGGGGTTTTAAATGGTACTTACTTAGAAAATGGCATATCATTTTGCAGAAAGTGACTTGACAGGTGTGGCTTGAAAGGTATAATTTTCATGCTAATGGAGAAAAAGAATAATGTACAGTATTGTCTCTTTGATGGCCACTCACTAATAGAGTTATGTATATTATCAGAATTTCAAAATTTTAGAAGCTGTCACAGCAAATTTACGTTTATGGTCGCATCTAAATAAAGCTTATGCACATCAGAGTAGCGAACTAAATAAAAAACCTACCACTCAATTTTTCCATTATATACGGGTACATCGTACCTCCATTGGTTTGCCTTCATTTTATTTACAGTCACGTTGGGTTGGTAAACAGAAGGTTTAGAATGGAAAAACCTCAGTAATGTAATTTATTTACGGAAAATTTATACACGGTTTTTTGTTATCACAAAAGTTCTACAAGGTGGTGCGCACAAATTTAAGGGAGCTAGACCGATGACGGGCGCTTCGACGGGCGGTCTTTGCTGATTCGTCCGTGGCACAATATCCCAAATTTGATGACCAGGACACAGATTGTAGGCTTTCCATAACTTTCTTCCGTCACGCCATCAGTCCTTTATTATTTACTGACAAAACTGATAAAACACCGAGTACGACAGATGGTCACCGTTTCCACAAATGAGAAGGAATATTCGCGTGGGAATTATCGTAAAGATTTTGCAGTTCGACTAAAGTGCACCGGTAATGACAAATGCAATGTTTATAGCTTGGCAGTGACATAGAGGTTCACGTTCTTGATACCTAGCTCTCACGAACGAAGGCAACTCTCATGGAAAGGATATAGCACATATAAAATGTTAATGTAGTTTTTAACAGAAGCGCTAGCTCATACCTACTTGCACACACGTTTTCATATATTCACAGAGCTAATATGGGTTCAGTTGACACGCATGAATATTTTAGAGAAAAAATCGAGGAGCGGTGGCACAGCTGTTAGATGCATGAATACAACGATTTGAAATCAGTTTCAGATAGGACTGTAGGACAATTCGCTGAGAAAAAAAAACAAGGACAGCGCCATACATTGTACCAGAGCGGAATTATAGGCGACAACAGAAATTAGCCGAGGCGAAATATCTGCAATTGCGAACAACGGTGTAAAAGTGTCTGCTGTTGAAGACTTGTGAACTGAAGAAATATTAATGTTATCAAATGTTAATATTAACATTAATGAAACTTATTACGTCGGATAGAAAGGTGAACGATTAAGATGTTGGGATAAGTTCGGTGATCACAGAACAAGCATCAGAAAATCTACTGTGCGGGCATTGAGCATTGCTCGCTGGACACTGCTGAACGGACAAAAGACCGCGATGTTTTGAGCGGAAAAATTAACGAAACAGAATAAAAATTTCGTTGGAGATTCCACCGACCATCTACAAAGCCCTGTAGATATACCAAGATTTTATCAGCCTCCGACAGGAAAAAAGGATGGGGATCTCTGTCCGCCAGAGGGCGCTGTTCAAGACAGTCTGCGTGGTCGTCAACTACTGGGTCGTTTCCATCACCATGGTCTTCCTCAATAAACATTTAGTCGGGAGAGGAGACTCGGAATATGATTTCTCCATTTTTGTCGCCTGGGTCCAAAACATAGGATGCACCGCATTTGTAATGATAATCACACACGCAGGGCACGAGGTCGACAGTCGCATCCAGCCCATAAAACCCGATTTGACTGTCTCTAATTCTAAGATTATGCTTGTACTGTCGTGTCTTTACGTAGGAATGCTATCTTTCAATAATATGTGTCTCAAATATGTCGGCGTCGCATTTTTCCAACTGGCAAGATCGCTGACTCTCATCTTCACAGTTTTGTTTTCCGCCCTCATACTCGGGAAGAGATCGTCTGCTCCATCTATTGTCTGCTGCGTGCTCGTGGTGGTGGGGTTTGTCCTGGGAGTGGATCAAGAAAAAATGGCGGGAACGTTGTCGACCATTGGGGTAACATACGGGATTTTTTCCAGTATTTTTGTTTCCCTGGTTGGAATTTTCTCCAAAAAGGCCCTTGATTTGGTAGAACAAGACCCCATCAAACTGACCTACGTCAAAAGTTTCAACGCGAGCTTTCTGTTTTTCCCGGTTGCTATGGTTACCGGGCAGATGGACTCTCTCGTTGCTTCCGGCAAATTGTGGAATGTCGGGTTTCTAGGGACTCTACTGTTATCAGGAATAATGAACTTTCTGATAGCGTACGCTACTAACTTACAGATCCAACACACCTCCCCCCTCACGCATATTGTGAGCACCAATTCTAAATCTGTGATGCAGACGGTCTTCGCGGTGATCATATTTAGCGAATCCAAACCGACGCTGTGGTGGCTTGGAAACGGGCTGGTTATACTGGGCGCTCTAGCGTACGCCATTGTGAAAACCCACGAGGCACAAATGAAGGAAAGGTTGCCGTTGTCTGTTGACAAAAATTTTAACGTTTATGACGATAAAACGCAAGAGAGACGTTTGTCTCGATCTCGAATTTTATAGATGTCTCTGTTGCTCTGCGGAAATGTAAACTATGGTAATGACTTGATCTTTACCATGAGAAAAATTATATCTGTTTAGATACATAATATTGGAATAATTAAAAATTATATTTCTTGTCATTTGTTTGCTTTTACTACATAGAACAAAACTACTGCTTGTGTTTCAAGTTGGTTGCTACCACTCCAAAGGAAAGTTCTAATTGTAAGAATTCATGACTTTAAAAATTCAGTACCCGTAGAGTTCACAATTTTCTCCATTGATAAATTCGAGCCATTTCCGTGCATTTATATGTAGGCCTACCAACATGTCCAGTATAAAAGGCATTTAATTGGATTCGGGCGTCCCTGAAATGAATAATAGGCTACTAGCAAAAAGAAACAGGGTTGTTGATCGTTTGTTGTCATAATTTTACCTATTCTAACCTCGCAAAGCTTAATGTAAACCTATAGCATTTACATGTTTGCCAAAACGGTGTTACCAGTCAGATTAGATGCACTGCATATTTACATATTGATTTACATTGAAGTTACATTTACATTGAAGATAACATACTGGCATATAGACTGAAACAAGGAAAAGGGACGAAGTTTTCCTGTACAACTTCGAACCGTCCCTGCTGAAAACGCCATCGAATCCTTTATTTATTTATATAATTTTGTTACAAAACCCTGTATCTCAGTCGCAGAAGGCTAAGCGGGAAAGACGCTGCTCATGCGCGGGCGTTTGACGCATGTGCTGAACATATGACATGTGCCCATGCAGTGATGAACCCAGCCTGCTGTTATATAATGTTCAAGGCAATCAAAAATAGCCTGGTTAACGTATCAATGATTTTCAACTGGCCTCCTTAATATAAACACTGAGGAGCATGCTTATTTAGACTTTGTACAGGTCTTTTGGAATCCTGTATGTCCCAGTACACTGAGCACATCCATCAACATACTGTATCTCGTTGTCTATCAAAATATGGAAGTTTTCCAAAATGTATTCGAGTTTTGCCTTCCATACTTGCGTATCTTACTTGACTGGGTGTACCGCATTGTGCTCCGAAGTAGACTGAGTCCTCTCACAGAGGAAAGTCTGTGGAGTAAATTCACCTTAGAGGAGCGACGACTCATATTTTCAGAAAATCTTACTCGAAGATGGTGGTACGAAGGATTTTCCATACTTTTGAAGGGTTACCGTGAAGATGAAAAATTGTCTGTGGCGGGGAGATTATCCATAGAAAAAAGATGGACTGAAATTCTTCAAAACAGACTTTCTATATCTCGACGACTGGCGACTGTTGATATATCCAAGGTACATATGGTGGTGCGAATATTTTATCTCGGGTGGTGTTAGCCATGCACTTTTCATATCATTCTAGTACCAGTTAAGGAGATGTACGTTATTAAAAATTAATAGTTTTTAGCTTTTTAGTGTAATGATTTAGCCTTATTTACTTTTTTGTAACACGCTAAGTTGGCCATTTTTAAAAATTTCAAATTCTTTTTTACTTCTTTACAACACCCGCGCTACATTTTAAATAGGATACAAAGAGAAGCAAAGATTAAAACTTTGACGTAATTTTTTCGGTCAGAAGACGGTCAAAATGGTGGATGGATCAACAAAGATGATTTGAAAGGCTCAAAAAAATATCACGATCACCCCCCTGTATACATCTGTTTGTGACGACCAAAGCTATCTTTCATCGTTTCAGTGTCATATCAAGAGACCCATTTTCATAATAGGACCGTGTCGGTCCGGAACGACGTTTCTTCTGAATCTTCTAAACGAGGATCCTCATAACACTTCTCCGAGATATTACGAGACGATGCATCCTGTGGAGAACGTTACCGTAAATGACAATGCAAAGGGGATTCTGACCGAAATTCGTGCACTAGGTACAGGTGTATATTTTTATGTTATTATAAGCGTTGCCACCCAGCGAACACGTCACGTTGGTACCACGTGATTAACCCGTCGCTATGACGTTATAATAATCATATGGTAGCAACGTGCTAACCACGTGATCCAAACGTGACGTTTTTGCTAAGCAAATGCTCCACAACGAAAGCCGAAAATGTATCAAGGTATATGTTACTTATTTTTGTGAATAGGTCAGTGAGTAAATTAAATCAGCCAGAGATAAAGGCAGCCAGAGACTGTAGGCCTTGCACTTAAATAGCTTGTGACTTTGACTGAAACTACGTAAAATATAATGTGGCACTACGATTTGAAAATAAATCTTTAAAAAAAGGCAGTTGACATAAACAACGATGTCGACTTCAAATAAAACATTAATTCAAATCATGATTACACTTGTGTGTTACGTTTATCATTGCCATTATTATGTACTATCATGATCTTCCTCATTTTTACTTGACCTAAAAATCGCCTTCAAGGTCAAATGTGCCCATTTTCGAATGTTTCAGCCGCGATGTATGGCAACGTACCGGAATTGAAAGCGATGCACTACATCAATGCTGACGGCCCGTATGAATGCTACTGTCTGATGGAAAACATAGGATGGATGAAGAACATTAGGTTCAGAGAATACCAAGAATGGCTAAGAACTCTTTCCAAGGATCAAATGGTGGAGGCTTACCGTTTCCATAAATTGCAAATGCAACTTATCCTTCTGGCTAGGGGCAACGGTATTATGAACAGTACGATATTTCATAAAAAATACATTAGTGCGACGTAGATATGATTATGTGATGAATAAAAATAGTAATTTATATCAGATATATGATAGACTGCTGGCTTTCGATGCTACTTCAAATGTTACTGTTTGCATACAATGATTATATAATATATAATTATGTTGTGAATAACTTGCCCAATTGTTAGATGGCAGCCACATTTAATTTCAGACTACATGGATCATGAACAACAACTCGTGTTCAAGGAGGCCTCACATGCTATGAACCTGGAGGCCATACTTGAGGCCTATCCGGACGCTCTCTTCATCCAGACGTATCGTGACCCCTGTGCGTCCACCGCGTCGCTAGGCTCCTTGTGTGAGGTTTTTATGGTAACCCTGGGGTATAGTCCAGAGAACATAGACTTGGCACGTCTCGGTCAGGATATTCTGCGTTCCTCTCAGGTCCACGGTGGAAACGAGATGGCGAGGTTTAGGAAAGGTCACCCGGAGGAGGAGTACCGATTCTGCGATATCAAGTATGAAGATATTGTTGCATCCCCTTTGAATGTGGTGAGGAAGATTTACAGTTTCTTCGGCTTGACGTTGACGGCGCTAGGGGTAGCCAAGATGACGGCTTACGTAGAGAAACACCCGCAAAACAAATATGGCCGCCACAAGTATGCTTTAAAGCGTTATAAATTGACAGAGGAAGATGTCATGGAACAACACAAAGAGTTTGTAGAGTTTTCCAAAGCCCGTGGTCTTCTTTAGCGATATTATGAAATGACGATGACCATGACATAATCACTGCCTAACATATTAAATTTGATATGTATATTCAATTATAATCGCCCATCTAAAAATGATAAAAACATGTGTAGAAATTTGGTTCGAAAAAACATTTTGGCTGGAAATGGTCCGTTTGAGATCAGAAATCAAAATTTGATTAGTGTTCTATGTCATTTCTCCAGTTGGGTCAACTGGAAAGGTAAAAAGGTACATTTTTCCAGGAAAAACTGAAAACACTGGTTACAACCTGGATATTGAACGAGAGAGAGAAGGAGGATCAGAGAGAGAGAGAGAGAGAGAGAGCAAATTTCTTTTCCCGCTTATGTATAATGATAATGCAACACGACAAATTCACAAATCTAAATACGGGATGATGGTTAATTCATTGGATAAGATGTGTTAGAGGTGCTTCCTCTACAAAAATGCGTTAGCTGAACTGTAAAAGCCATTCTGAGAAACTCGGGTGATCTCATGAAATCATACATGTATGTCCTCTTATTGTGACGAAAATATACATGAGTATGCGCAATGTAACCAAAACTCATGCATAAAACCATAATATTTTTTTCATGTTCAGAAATATTTGTTACATATACTGGTAGCTGTGTACTGTGGATGTCATGAGTTAGGTGAGAGCTAATTTGGCGGAGAGTATTGCGTGAAGAATTCGGAGATTGAAGACCAAGTGGCCGCAGAAAGTCAGATACCAAGGTCCATTATTAGACCTGTATGTGGCGTTTTTTACATGATCAGTCAATATGGCAGTTCTTCAAGTGATATACGAGTTCTGCCTTCCATGCTTGCGTGTCTTACTTGACTGGTTATTCCGCATTGTGCTCCGAAGTCGACTGAGTCCTCTCACAGAGGAAAGTCTGTGGAGTAAATTCACCTTAGACAGGCCTACCCAACTACCAGACTCGGCACCTAAGGATCCTGAATTAACCGGTATATCGGACCACGCTACCCGTTTTCAAGGTGTGTGTCAGATCGCATTTCGCAGTATCATACCCCAGAATAAATTTTGTAGCACGACTGCGGGCTCATCCACGCTCGGCTGAACAACCTGAAACTGTACTCTTACTTTAGAGTACTCTATTTTATTGTCTCTATGGGGGTATATGGGGACTTTACGACATTCAGTTTGAATGTTTTAACCACTTTTGATAGGGCTTTTTTGCATTGTATTAGATTAATGTGGCAGTCTTAGGTTCATCTAGGTGGCTTTCAAATTTATGCGCCCGGTTTTAAAATCATATAGCGATTTTACGACAATCGTTTACTATCCAATCAAAGTGACAGCCGAGCATGCCAGGGCTCATCCTGTCGGTGTTCTGGCTGATACTCCGAAATGCGATCTGACACACACCTTGAAAACGGGTAGTATGGTCCGATATACCGGTTAATTCAGGATCCTTAGGTGCCGAGTCTGGTAGTTGGGTAGGCCTGTTAGAGGAGCGACGACTTATTCTGTCAGAAAGCCTCACTCGAAGATGGTGGTACGAAGGATTTTCCATACTTTTGAAGGGTTTCCGTGAAGATGAAAAATTGTCCATAGAAAAAAGATGGACCGAAATTCTTCAAAATAGACTTTCTATATCCCGACGATTGGCGGCTGTTGATGTATCAAAGGTACGTGTAGAATATTTTAACTTAAGCATGCACGTTAATTGAGAAGTGTTCTTTGAATTGTAGCCATTTCCAAAAATATTTTCATGGAAAGGTTTTAAAGTTGACTTATTTGTGGGTTTCGGTGTGCCAAAAATGTACTGGTGATTAACAAGCATGAAACCCAGTAAAACTTGAGTTTGTTCACCAGCTATTTATTTCAAAACATATTTAGCCTATGTATCAGTGAAGTCAGAATTTATTGTAATTGGGCTGTGAAGAACAATGGAGTAGTCTGAAAACGAGTTGAATGTTGCACTCGACAAGTGTGCGGCCGTGCAAATGTACGGTTCTATACTAAAAAAAACGGCCATCTAAGATATCATTTTTCTCAAATTTGTCTTTTAAACTTCAAATGACAATTTCTACCGACACCCCCTCCTTTGGAAAATAAATTTAAACAAAGATTAATTTATTTAGTACTTAGCAGTAGGATGCACATCATGTTTAGGCAACGTTCATGTATTGGCACGACGTTAAGGTTTTGGGGTACATTGCAAAAAGCCTACAAGCATTTCAATGCGGGTATGTTGTCACAGGTGGTAAGCTTTATACAAATAATTACCATCATAAACCCGTATGACAACCCAGACTATATGTGTCATTCTGTCTCTTTCAAATGATATAAGTATGACATATTAATGGTTAACACCCATTACTGCTTTCTTCTTGGTTTGCAAGCATGACACGCCGCTGTAAATGGCCGGGGTCGATTCAATACGTTTTCTCGTTTCTTTTATGTAAAATACTTAGACCAGGGCGGATTATTTAAAATGAAAATGGTGAAAAAATCGGTCTGAACTGAGCAAAATTATATATATATATATATATATATATATTCTGTGTGTGTGTGTGTGTGTGTGTGTATGTGTGTGTGTGTGTGTTTTGTATTTTTTTACAAAATCAATACGCATTTTCACGGTGCGGATCTGAGTCAGTCAGTTATGACAAATAAGTCAAAGTATCTGTATGTGTATTAAACTACTATGTCTGTCCATTTTACAGCTTTGCTTTTGTGAAAATTTTTCCAATGATTTTTGGTGTCTGTATATTTCCCAGATTTGCTGTCAAATTTCAGAGTCCGATCAAGAAAACCATATTCATAATAGGACCGTGTCGTTCTGGAACACATTTTCTATTGAATCTTCTAAACGAGGATCCTCATAACACTTCTCCAAGATATTATGAGGCGATGCATCCAGTGGGAGAAACCACAAGGGATGGCATTGACACGCGGCTTCTGGCCGAAAGTCGTGCACTGGGTAAGACAATTGGTAATCATCACGCCTTAAAAAAAAAAAATATATATATATATATATATATATATAGAGAGAGAGAGAGAGAGAGAGAGAGAGAGTGAGAGAGAGAGACCCATGAAAAGAAACTTGACATTAAAGTGAGTAATTTTACGCTATAAACTACGCCAACTCATCGAATAACGTTCATTTTTTATGCCATATCTCACCCCTACCTACTTTATACTAGAGGTTAAAGTGATGACAATAACTACATGCAATAATTCTCTTTAAACAGTAAAAAATGCCAAGAATTAGACAGAGACATATCTGTGAATATCTAGTGAAATTCCTACTAGTGGCCCTTGTAGAGGGGCCTCCCCCTATCTTAAGTAATTACCTCTGCCAAGGAGGTTATGTTTTCACCCTTGTTTGTTTGTAATCAACATAACTCAATAAGTTATGGACCGACTTTGATGAAATTTTCAGGGTCGGTGGGATATGGGTTAACTTAGAAGTGATTAGTTTTTGGTGGTGATCCGGATCAATAATCAATCAATAATCAATAATAATAAAAAAATCACTGCCTTGGCGGAGGTCTGCGCTCTCGGAGTGATTTTCTAGTTGCGGATGTAATCACCAACAGCCCGGGGGACGGACAATAGCTATATTACTTCTGATGGGCAATGTAAACCGGTGTTACAAAACTGAGGGTCTTTGTGACAGAAAGTCCACCCTCCATTTAGCTTTAATGGTAAGTGGGTCAAAATCTACGGCGAGGCTTTCCTGTACAAGTGAATGGGAAGTGGACTTTCTATTTGAAAGGGGGGGGGGAGTCTCGGTCGCATTTCACCTGTGATACAAACAGAGGAATATAAGAACCATATCTTACTAAGGCCGAACATCGTCTTAGTTGGAGCTATAATACCGGTCTACATTTCTTGTGTTTAAGCTTCAAGGCACAGAGCCAATCCCAAATTGAAAGCAGTACACAGCATCCGTGCTGAGGGTCCGTATAGTTGTTTTCCCCTCATGGAAAACATGGGGCTGTTCAAGTCCTATCGTTTTCACACCAAGAATTTCCAGGAATACGACGAATGGCTCCGAACACTAACCAAAGATCAAATGCTGGAAGCCTATCGTTTCCATAAATTGCAAATACAGCTTATCCTTCAGGACAGGGGTAAGGGTGAGATTATTCGTTCCTTCACATTACTATAGCCAATATATTGAATTTTTAACTAAACATGTCGTATTTCTTTCGTGATTAATGATTTTTTTCTTTGCACACAGGATCAACCTCATACTTTTCTCATTTTTTTGTAAATTAATCTTTAAATATTAATCTTTAAATATTTAACGTAATTTTTCATTGTATAGTTTTTTCATCAGTTGGTAAAAATAACCCATGTATAATGTGTATTTCACGTGAATAATGGGCAGGTTTTGTTTATCATTGACACGACACAAATAAATCTGTATTTTAGGCCCTATGGAACAAGACCAACAGCTCATACTCAGAGATTCCTTTCATGCCACGAATCTGGAGACCATCCTTAAGGTCTATCCCGACGCTCTTTTCATCTACATGCACCGTGATCCCCGGGCGACAACGGCGTCTTTCGCTTCCTTGTGTAAGTTAACTTCCCGAGGATATACCGCAGCGGACATCGATGTACACCTAAGTCGTTTGGGCCAAGACGTCTTGAGATCCCCCCTGATCAACGGTGGAAACGCGATGGCGAGGTTTAGAAAGAGCCACCCGGAAGAGGAGTACCGATTTTGCGATATAAATTATGAAGACATAGTTGTATCGCCCATGAATGTGGTGAGGAAGATTTACAACTTTTTCGGCTTGACGTTCACAGCGCTAGGGGAAGCCAAGATGAGTGCTTACGTCGAGGAACACCCGCAGAACAAGTTTGGCCGACACAAGTACGATTCGGAGCGTTTTAAGTTGACAAGGGAAGAAGTAATGGAACATTTTAAAGAGTTTCTGGAATTTTCTACATCACGCGGATTTGATTTGAGGACACCGTGATATGTTCTCATTCTTTTTCGACAGTGACATGATTTTTAAAAGAATTTTGCTTTTAGTTTAGTTTAACGATGTTAATGAATTAAGACAAATCTGGCAACTTTTTAGACAGATAGATTGATAGATCGAGGAATATTCACTCCAAGTTACAAATCAATAATAATTTTCCACGACCGAGTCTTACAAAATAACAACCCGACTTTCATCTTCCTCACATATTTATTTGAAAACAAATAACAAATGAGAGACTGATTTGTGCGAGATCATCACAGTAACAAATAAATCTGTTTGAGCCACAGGAATGCCATGCCTTTTGCCAGAATATCTCTGACAATATAGAACTCAAACAGTCTATCAGAACCACACGGCAGCTTCCAAACAACCAAATCCCTGACCTTGTTTTAATGGAACTACCACATTGAAGACTTCCCTTGTCGGTGTGACAGGAATGGTAATCCTTGTAAGGGAAGTCTGGGGTCCCATATGATTACTACAGGTTAGAGTAAGTCGGAGTATTGGGGTTAGTATATGGGACGAATGTCACCTGTACAAAACAATGGGGAAAAGAGTTCCTAGCGGACTACCATTTCTGTCAAACCCGGTTGCAAACTGAATGGTTTTGAAGTGTAAGCCTACACCAAAAATTCACAGCAGTGCATAGTAAGCAGTGCATAGTAAGTAAGTAAATAGATATATATCTGTGACAATATATTTGTTAAAACAGATCATATTCAAGGATTCATCCAATAGAAAAATAATTTTCTGCTCTTAGAAAAAAAGGGAATCTTGAAATATTTTGTCTCAATGATTTTTTTAGTCATTTATGACTTCCAAGTCAAGCATTTATCAGTAACATTGCCGGTATATTACGGAGTAACAAAAGTCACTGATGTAATGAATGTGCACAATTGTCAGTGTTCTTGGCTTCCGACTTGGGTTTTCCTAGGATCAGCGTCACCATTCAGTACCTAAGATTGAAAGACATTTACATTAGCCTTATCCTAGAGTTTGTTGCAACAGGTATACCACAGTTATTTGTGTGTGTTAGTTATTTGTCAGTGTGTGTGTGTGTGTGTGTGTGTGTGTGTGTGAGAGAGAGAGAGAGAAACATGCAAATTAGTCTGCCTTTCTATGACTGTGTGTGTGTGTGTGTGTGTGTGTGTGTGAGTGAGAGAGAGAGAGAGAGAAAGAGCAAACATACCTTTCTGGCAAATTGTGGAAGGGCAAAGGCTGCTTTATGAACATCTGGATTGTAATACTTGGTAGGCAGTTGATCATCAGACCAAACATGGAGTGGTTCTCTAAAATTTGTTTCCTAAATGAGAAAAATCTTACTCAGTATAATATATGAAACACAAACACACACAAAGCCCGTTTCGTTCACACAAATGTTCTTTTAGATTCCTTAGAGCCTATACACCTCATCTGATGTATTTTACCCTGAGTGACTACACAGCAAGCTTTGTAGTGGGTCGCCATATTTGACCCTCAGACTAGTTAGTCCCCTGTTCTGAATGGGGCCTAAGATGACCTTAAATCACCATACTTACAGGGTTTAGACTACAGAGTGTAAATCCTATCTGTCCACTTGGGTACGTGGGTATAGTGGTGTACCCATAGTCTACCACAGGATACAGACTACGACAGAATTTCTGCATATTGTCAATTAAGCCGAGGTCCAACCACAAGCATTCCCCTGGAAAAATAAGATGTATCAGAGGAAATCTCCTTTTTATATCAGGTACAGTACCTACAGGACATGTTCTTATTAATAGGAATCCTGTCCAACAGAATTTCAATAGAATCCTGTAAGTTTTCTATGGAGTCCCATAGGCCGCATTCACAAGAGCGGACTAACTAGTCCCCGAATCAAATATGGCCGACCTACTTGAACGCTTGTTGCGTAATCCCCGCTGGTAATCTGTGCAGTGTCTTTTTAGGCAAGTTTTTAAGTAGGACACCACATTTGATCCCCACATCTTTCTGATTCATTGGACCCGCCATGTGTATGTGTTGCTGGCATGTATGTGAGAGTGCGTGTATGTGCGTGCATGACATGCAAATTTGAAAACTAACTCACCTTGTGAGCAAACTACACCCCCTGGTCTTAACGCTTTCTTCATCAATTCATAGTACGATTTCTCAAATAGAGAGCTTGCTGGACCTGAAAAATCACAGCGCATTAGTCACCTGTTAATAAATAATGCACTACAAAAACTTGTTTTCTGCAACAAGATTTTTCACAAAACTTTCAACATATTCTGTAAAATATACCACATCTATCTATAGGTATGGGGACGGGGTTTAATACTCTACTCATTCCTTACCTATGGGGTCTGAGGAGTCTGTAATAATGACATCAAACTCCCCCTGGTGTTTGGCCATGAAATCAAAACCATCGCCAACATGGAGGGTCAGCTTTGGACTGCTGAAGCCAGAAGACATGCTTGGCAGGTATTGTTTTGAGACTTCTATCACTTTCTGAGAGAAAAAATAATAATCAGTATATGGTTGTACAATGTATCATCCAATTTTCAAACACCTAATGACAAAATTTTATTGTTCAAGATTTATCATTTTTAGTCATTCACAACAACATTTCTTCTGCCATGAACCCACCTGATAATACTTTTCAAAACTTGTAAATCGTGAATTTCAGGAATTATTGCACAAAACGTTAATAAAATATGAAAAATTCCTAATTCCTCTTTACATACCTCATCAATTTCACATTGCACTGCTGACTTAACAAGGGGGTGTCTCACCACATCCCGTGCCACCCCTCCATCACCTCCGCCTATTATCAACACCTGAAAAACATCACACATTAGATGGGGAATTGGAAAATCTGTATAATATACTATATAATAAAGACTGAATTGATAATGCGATGAATGATTTCTTATCCTTTCCATGCTTTCTAACTAGGGTCTCATGCACACACACACACACAGACATGTACACACGCAGTGACACACACACATAATCATGCACACACACACATGCATGCACATGCATGCACACACACACACAGTGATGCACACACACACACACACACACACACACACACACACACACGCTGGTTGCTGTCAGTAATGTACCATTTCCTGCATAAGATAGTCCATTTGTGGGTTGTTAATCCTTATAGAGAAAACTCCAGGTGATAAGATAACAGCAACACAATGACTAACCTTTTCCGGATTTGGATGTGAGTTTAGAGGTAGATATGAGATCATTTCTTGGTACGAGAACTCGTCTCTCTCTGTGCATTGAATGATCCCATCTAAGACCAGGACATTGCCATAGCTCTTGCTGGAGTAGAATAAGACATGAATCCAAATTAAAAACATGTGAATCTAATACTAAGAAATATGGGAGTGCATCTTTAAGATATGTAAATCCAATCCAAGAATATGTGAATCCACATGAATCATGTGGATCTATGTCAAAACCATGCAAATCCAACTTAAAAATATGTGAATACAAATAAATAATATCATTATTATATGTGAATCTAAATGAAACATACATGTAAATTATAATAAAAATTGTTATTCAAAATAAAAAAATATGTTTAATTTAAATTAAAAACATATTTTGAGACCATATATTTTTCTTCACTCAAAACAATTTGAGAACTACCCACAATATTTTCTAAATACTAACATTATAGCACTTGTGTCTGTCTTTCCAAGATACATAGCATTAATGCGAGACATGAGACATTCAATTAATTCCTTCTTTTAAGTGTATCTAAGACTGGGTTCCCATAAACCTAATTTAGCAAGAATCCCCTTGGAGTTAAATTGATCCTGCTAGTACGATAGGGTTATGGGAATGGTCCCTTACTTCCATATGTTTTCATTTTTCACCTTTTAAACACTAATATTTCCTGGTACTTGGACTTTCCTTCATAGAGCACCTGTTCCACCTCCAGGGACATGCACTGCCCAGGCCACAACTGCTGACTGTGCTCACTAAACCAACCTTGTTGTAGCTTGTCCATACCACCAGTGCCTCAACCTTCTCACATGTAATAATAAATTATAAAATAATGAATAATATTAATAATAACTATAATAACACACACACACACACGCACACACACACACACAGCACCCCCCCCCCAAAAAAAAAAAAGAAGTTATAAAGGAACATATTTCTTTTTTAAAAAACACATTCATGATCAATTACCATAGCAGTCAGTGTATTTACTTTGCTGAAATTCATATCCAACTACTTCTAGTGTCTTTAATTGTTGATTATTAACTCATTTCGTTCTTTTTTTTTCACTCCTTTCATCATCCCACCTCCATCCATGCACAGCTACCCCATCCTGATAACCCTTCTTTTCCACAAGAGAAAGACAGCCCAACAAACAATCCATATGACCACTGGGTTAGATTACAGAGAACACAGAGAAGAATAAGTGTATTAAACATATTTACACGGTAATTCTTGGCCACCAACCTTAAAAGATCTTAAAACGAGCTAGCTCTGCCCCCCCCCCCCCCCTCTCTCTCTCTTTCTTTGTGTGTGAGAGAGAGAGAGAGAGAGAGAGAGAGGGTTGAGGAAGGGAGGGGGAACCGCCATGGCACAACATTAATATAATTATAATTAACAAAAATATAAAATCTAAAACGTAAAGAATATTAACCTCTGTATACGATCAGCATCTACACGCAGTTGCCAGTGCACTATCTCCCGAGATGGCCTACAAACTGATCCCTGTCTGTGTGCACATGGGTTATAACCGGACACGCTGGACGAAGGTTTCATTTACTAGACAGGTCAAGGTCGATTGACAAGTATTCTGTGCGTGTGCGTACGGACGACTGTTCATCTATGTCCCAGAATAATAAAGGTTTTTTGTCGTTGCTATTTTGTTTTTGTTAGCAAGATGAAATTGACACTCATCTGTTTTTCATCTTGTATACATTTTTAAACGAATAAAATGGAATAATGTTGTGTCAAAACGTTCGTTCAAATGAATGAACAAAAGCATTCATCCGATTGTGATTTTTACCATGTGCACAGTAGCTAGCGCAACAAACACAATGTCTTTACCACACCACCAGGTTAGGGTATACTTACTTACTTACTCTCCATCGGGGTCGCAGAAAATTAAGTGCACTTTTCTCTCACTGGGCAGAAAGTACCATCGTTTATCTAGAGACCTATCTGTGAATATCTACTGAAATCCTGAATTTCAATTTGTTAAAACACTGATAATGAGGTGTCAACCCAGCGCCGTCAACAGCCACTTTACCGCAAAATTTTCAAACGTAGCACTGAAACGGGTTGACGGGTTGACAAGAAAAAAAAAGCAAAAACGACATATTTTATTTAAAAAAAAAATAAATAAATAAATAAAAATTAAAACAAGAAAACTTTCTTAATGTGAAAAAAAAATAAAAAAGCTTCAGAAATAACTTTGAAATTTAACTTCTTCACAGGAAATAAACGCAAATAAAAAAGATGAATGATAAAGAAAATTGATTTATCATCTTCAGCCTCATTTAGTTATTATTATTATTATCATTATTATTATTATTATTATTATCATACCAGCATCATTCAACCCTATTAATTTACAGTCAATACAACTCACTTGCCCTGCATAAAACTCTCCCGTACAGACTACAAACATTCGTGGGCTGGTAGATTATATCTTTGAGCGCATTCAGAAAAGTTGATCACCGGACTAACGTATCCACGGATTAAAAATGGCCGACCCACTTGAAAGCTTGCCGCCTTATCCCTTAATAGCCATTGAATAGATTCCTCGGAAGGACTACGTGGTAAGTCTTCAACTGGGTCAGCCATACGAGGATCTGTTAGTCCGCGGATCAACTTTGGTTGTGAATTTGGCCTTTGGTTGGCACTGACCTTTCCGTAAAACTGCTGTAAAGAGTGTGAAAGAGCAAGTTCTGAGTAGGGGGTATAGCGCTATTCTTTGAGGATGAAAATTGGATTTGAGATTTTAAACGAAATGTTTCATTGACTTTCTTATTGTTAATTAGTAGATCAAGCCCTTGAAACACAACCACTGACTTTTGGAAAAGAAAAGGTAGTGGTGGAGAGATAAAAAAAGAAATGAAGAAATAAAGCTTTTAAGTACTTAAAGTAAAATATTTTTAATAGCGTTAACGTTCTCTTTCCTAAGGGTACTGTAAGGGTTTATTATCTTCCAAATACCGAAAATGAGTTTTTTCTATAATCTAATTATTCAATAATGCATCTACCTTTGAGCTGATTTATGACGATAAAAATACCCTTGAAATATATAAAACATCAGCGTTAATTTTTCTGGTTGCTATGTATAAGCATAAGCCACTTAAAGCTTTTATCGTCAATTTCACACTTTTCCATTTTTTAGGTGAGATAGCTATCGGTATGGGGTTTAACTTCATCCCTGAACGAGACTTTATAACGAAAATTGGCAAAGGAAACCACAAGTCTATGGGCTACAATCCGGTGCCGTCGTTTTGGCTTAAAAGTTTTTGGTATGTAGTTATAATAACAGATTTTCATTAAACAAAAGCATTACTTTGCTTTGTCAACGATAAAATCTGAACTAAGGGTTTAAAGAAAATTTGCTGGCTGTAATGGGCGTTGAAACGGTGTTCGTGGGTGCTCAGGTAAAGGAGAAATTTGATAAGTCGATTTTTCCATATTTACCCCCAAATCGCAATTATGACGTCACCCGTAAGATGAAATATGTGTAAATGTTAATCAATTTAGTCACGGAACACTGAAGGTTTATGTAAATAAGGCAATAAATAAGGTGTTTTTAGCAAACGCATACAGTAGCCTTAAGTTTGTGTCCATTCCGCTCTTTTTCACGTTGATAAGATTTTACAGATTTATCACTTGCACGTTTCTTTTACTAAAATGCACATTAAAATGCACTTTCGATATTCTAAATTCTGCATTAGAGTCACAAAATGTTTATTTACAACAAAATCATATCTATTTCTACAGGACATAAACTGGATCCTCTGTCTTTATATCAGTCGTACCAAAAACGGATCCTGCTAAATATGTATGTAGTCCTCTGCTGCTTGTCTTACTTACTATACATGTAGCTTTCGACCAAAGATAATCCATATAGTCAAACAAGCTATCCCAAGGCCCCATCCCCATAACACCATCGGTCAACATGGATCAACCCAACTTCTACGGGGACTCTTGCTGACTGCAACCAGTTAAACTGAATGACACGCCTCCTCCTGGTGAGTAGAATTCAGAAAATCTGTTGATTATCAAGTACGTTGGAAACAAGTGGAGGCGCGTCATTTATTTAAACTGGTTGCACATAGCGACAGTTCCTGCAGAGTTGGGTCGATCCACGTAGGCCGATGGTGTCTATGGAATGGTGTCTTACACGCACAAGATTCAATGTACATGTACACTGTAGATATGAAGGCTCTGTGACATCTAGCGTAAAGAGGTACGTAGGCCTATGAGTATCGTATGTGACATCGGTTATATACAACTTTGAGCTCATGGAATCACCCCGTTTTTTCACCCTATTAGTTCTAAATTGAAGATATGAGCAGCGTACAAAATAGTTTTTGTACATATCAAAACATACTATTTCCCTCCGGGTATTCGAACGTAGACCTGCGTTCTCCAGACGTGTACAACGCAAGTCCAACAACTCCCTTGCGCCTGTTTGCGTATGGGCAGTTTTTCCCTTATGTTAGGGAGGAGGGCGTACGCTAGATGTGACAGTGCCACACAACCAGAAAATATCGGTAAAAATATTTAACTAAAACTTGGAGCCAGTGACATCAAGGCAGAGCCCAACGCAAAGAATCTTGGTGTTATTTATAAATGGAACATTTTCCATGAAACAAGCTAATTTCTGCGTATGCAAATCTGCAGGAGNAGCGTACAAAATAGTTTTTGTACATATCAAAACATACTATTTCCCTCCGGGTATTCGAACGTAGACCTGCGTTCTCCAGACGTGTACAACGCAAGTCCAACAACTCCCTTGCGCCTGTTTGCGTATGGGCAGTTTTTCCCTTATGTTAGGGAGGAGGGCGTACGCTAGATGTGACAGTGCCACACAACCAGAAAATATCGGTATCGGAAAAAATATTTAACTAAAACTTGGAGCCAGTGACATCAAGGCAGAGCCAAACGCAAAGAATCTTGGTGTTATTTATAAATGGAACATTTTCCATGAACAAGCTAATTTCTGCGTATGCAAATCTGCAGGAGGCCCCTATATAACACTAGAGGGTCCTATTGTGGGGGGGGGGGGGTGATCACAGTTCACGGAGATAAAATCTTAAAATCGCAAATCACATTTATTAAAACTAGAACCACTATTACTCGTACTTCTGTGGAAAATCGATTCAAGGGCTGCCACTCCAAGCTATGGTTTTATTCAATTTCTTAGGTCGCATTCAGAACAAGTTGATCTGCGGACTAACAGATCCGCGGATCAAATATGGCCGACCAACTTTAAAGCTTGCCGCATAATAGGCTAATAGACACTGAATAGATACCCCGCGGGGATTACGCGAAAATTCAAATGCGCCGGTCGATATTCTCGAAAGTGTGTCGGTCATATGTGATCAGCAGATTTGTTAATCTGCAGGAACAACTTTGGTTGTGAATGCGACCATAGTCCAAGTCCAAGGTGCTTTTTGTAAAATGGCACCAACTTGCCTAAATGTTCTAGTGGCTCTCCGTGTTCCAAACAGGAAATGGCAATCAGTAGCTCACTTTTATTGAAACCTCTAAAGGTGCCTCTTTTAAAAGTTTTATGGGGACATCTTTTCAAATCCTGGTCAATGGGAATGTAAATTATTGAAATATTCTGGGTTATTTATTTATTTATTTATTTATTTATTTATTTGCTATATAAAAATATAACGTGGTTGTATGCTTCTCAGGTTCTGTAGAACGACACAGTATGGTTGTTAGTACTAAAGGAAGTTTTCTTTTGAAGAAAATTGTTAAATATTTTCCGCTTTCGATACTATCCATATCTGTTCACTGGGAGATCAAAGATGTATATGAACTCAATTTTTGCCACAAAAAGTCGACCAAGTGTCACCACGTAGTTCAAATAGTATAATTTAGAGAAATACCAAAAGATATCACTTTACGTGTTCCTCGAAAAATGATATTTGAACGGATTTTTCTGCCTTTCTATGCTGTATATAAATGGGGCAGATAAGTAGATGAGATAATAAGGTTAAGTTTACGACCAAAGACCTAAAAAAGGTGAATTGTAAAGCTCTTTTATGGCTGATCAAACGATTAATTCGGTTTATCCCTTGGCATGTCGACTTTATTTGAGTCGTATAAAAAACCAAGAGACGTGGTTTATATGTGCCCCACCATCGCTCGGTTCTACCTTTAATTAAACTCTATACTTAAGTTCTACCGGTGTCTTAATTAGGACTAGAATGCTTATTAAATATCATCCGAAAAATGTCAGTGTGCGCCTCCTTGTTTTTTCCAAGAATTTTAGAGGAACAGGTTCTTTCACATCCTCACAAGTCATTGTTTTCATTCATCGATTTTAGAACAGATTCAACGAAATATAGAAAATTTATGATATCAGGGTGCCAAATTTATGTCTTTCAAATTTTCATAATTACGAAAATGAAATCAGTAACGCAGTATGGGACATTAGTCCAAAGTGTGAAAATGTACTTATTAAAAATCCTTAATTAATACTTCTAACCCAGCGACCTACATGAACAGTCGCGAGTTTCCCTTGAAAATCATCGATTTTAGGACAGATTCAACGAAATATAGAAAATTAT